CGATGCCCAATAAGTGATCTATATAAATTTTTGCTGGCAAAATATTTTTAGCCAAACCAAAATCAGACATGTTTTTTGCTAAAAATGTTAAAATATGTGGTGGGTTGCGCTAGTAATACCTCGAGTAATACCCACGTAGTAGTTGTGGTTTATTTGTTTATTTGCATGTCTTAGGACTTAGAGATGGAAATATGGTTTGTATACAAACTAGACTTATCACTGTTACTTGGGTAGAATTGATGATATGAACATACAATTTTGGTAGGGGATATGAGTAAAAACGAATTTCCCCAAAGTGAACATAAATGGCACACCATGTATATTTTTACATTTTTGAATTTCAATTATGCAGCCAATTTTACACCTGCTACGTTATATCGGTAATTCTTTGGCGCATTTTACAAGGAAGTTGGGTAGGAGATTGCAGCCACTTTCTCTGTCCGTCCGTCCGGTCGCCTGTGCGTCCGTCCGAGGGCTTAACTACTCCTACAGTTTTCAATATATTTAGTTCATTCTTTTTGAATTCGGTAGCTTATAGCTCTGAAACCTGACCCAAAAAATCTTGACTATTAATGTGCGCATATCAACTTGCTTATTTATTAACATACAGATTTTGATGAAATTTTAACCACAGATACTTCTAGTAAAGGCAAACATATCGCATACAGTAAAAATCAGATGTGCGCATGCGCCGACTTTCTTATTTATGCAGATATTTCTTTTAAATTTTAACCAAAGATCCTTTAGCAAAAGCAAACGTATCACATATTGTAAACATCAGATTAATGTGCGCAGGCGCAATGCGGGCTTATTTTTCGAGATATCATTTTGAAATGTTAACCATAGATGCCTCTAGTAAAGAAAAACAGCGCACATAGCTTTGGCCTTTTGGGAAGTACTGATCAATGCATGGAAAATGCGCTGAAGTTATTCGACTTAAAACCTTTTTATGTGTTATAATAATTAGCCAATATGTTAACGCCAACAAAATGATTTAATTAATTTATGCAGTCGGAGATTGGCAAATGAAAAACATATACATGGATCTTCAAAATAAACACATGAGCCGTTTCACAAAACGGTATAAAACTAATGAGAATTTCAAAATTGTTACCGGATAAGTAGGGTAAAATGAATTTTTTGTAGTAACGTCGAGTTTGGTCCTCTAGATTAAACTAGTATAGACATAGTCACTCGCGACCGACCTTTTGGAAAATGCCTTAAAAATATAATGTAATTAATTTTTGGACCAACCTCGTATAAATTACGGAAAGGTGTAAAATTGTAGAATCGTAAAATGTAAAACTATGCAAGGTCAAAGCATTTAATTCGTTTACACTCATAAAATCGCCCACCAAAATTTAAATTACTACCGTCCATTCTGCTTCTGCCAGGGGATGAGCCCAGTTTGGTTTACGCACGGTACACCCTACACGCGACCATTTAAAAGCGTAAAATACACATTAGTTAATGTCTCTTTTATTATCCTATTGATGGAAATGAATCATGCCAATCACCTTTGAAAATATTGGTATTGAATCATAAAAGTAGATTACTTTAATACTTTTAAATTAACTGGTCGCATGTGGAGCGTATACAAATCCAACTACCATAGCTAAGACCTAGGATTGACATTTGGCAGTCACCTACTAAATTGTATACCCTACAAATTTTTGGTATTAGAAAATTATCCTCGTGTGAGATCGAAGGAACTTCAGCGCATTTTATGGGGCAGATTCTATTAGTTGTCGGGGGATACCACATTCGCATTTTGGTGGATTCCACTAAAAACCCTCCACAAAATAGTACTCAACTTTTTGGGACATTTCGCATAGCTCCAACTTCTATTGCCGACACGAGAAAGAGAGATCGCGATTCGAGCTCTAATAAACTTTTCGACTACCTCTAGAAGACGGCCAAAGTCAAATTAAAAGCTACCTTTTTACAGATATATTTGCAAATGCCCGAAAAACCAGGTGCCAAATTCTTGACAAAATAGCTGAAACCATTAGATACTAAAAAAAAACGTTTTTGACAGTCTTACGTTCGTTATCCAGCCGAAATCAAAATAACCGTTTTACCGAAAAAAAAAGGTTTTTATTTTTAAGTGGGCCGAATTTCAGCCAAGGCTGCTCTACCAACCCAACCCACTATACACTTACAAATATCTATGCCCAAACTCGGATTCGAATCAGGGACCCTTGGTACCGCAGTCGAACTTCAACACCACTGCACCGCACGGCACCTCTAACTCTCTAACTAAGTAAAGTCATGCTCGGACAAGTCGATTAGTATTTTGAATCGTTTTTTTTATGTCCCACATGTTACACGTGTGCCAAATTTCAAATTTTTATTTTTTGTCATTTGACATGATATACTGTGTAAGAATAGTTATAAAAAATTAGGGTTGTCATCATCATATCTCAAATTTGGAACACCCTGTATAAAATTTCGTTACATCAAAAAGAGCGTATCGACGTGTGCGAGTATATGTCCGAAAAAAAACCCGCTGAAATTATTTCACGTTAGAGACTCGCCCTATATTTTGAATCGTCTCGAGGATTTTACCAACAAAATGTACCTATAACAGATTTATATCTATTAAAGTAGTACTTCTGACTACCTTGTGCTTATCGGCATATAGCCGCCTCTATTCAGAATACCGACCAACATTTCAAAATTTGGTCGAGTGCCTGATCTAGTAATTTTTACTTTAAAATTGTTACAGATGGCTCAAGTATTCAATACGGTAATTATGTTCAATTTTCTATCAAATGTAAGGGTGCCGAAATTTCGATACTTATCGCACCATCAAAATTGAAAATTGAAAACAATAACTTACGCTATGTGCCTCCGCCTTTTTGGCTTCACTAACAAAGTCTTATTGTACAGTCTCTTGTAAAAGTAATGTCCCTCGGATAGGTACCTACCACTGTAGCATAGGCAACCAACATCCCAGTCGCCTAGTCCAAGTTGGATTTGCGGGTGTGCGAGGTAGCTATCTATAGTAATGCGATTCATTTTCAGCAGATATTCCCATTTAGCCAAACTAAATACTAGTTAGTAGAATAAAAGTGAATGCCATCGATTTATTAGCTCAAAGGATCTGCGCTGCACATCCTTGGCTTGGTGCAGTAAACATTTTTACATTTCTTACAATTGGTTTGGTGCGTTTTAAATTTGCAAATAGTTTAGCTAGAGACTATTAAGACAAAATAATGGCCTTTCACTTTTTAATTTTTTGAGTAGGTTTTCTTCTAACGAAATAAAGGTGATATTCTTGTCCTTTAATGACATTGAAATTCCAGTGTCATTAATAATTACTTGCGAGTTGCGAGTAGGTCTCCTCATGGAATGCGATTAATTGCCCTACAAGTGCACTGTGCAACAATACCTTTCTTTTGTAACTAGCATCAGAAATTAAATGATATGCATTTGTGATACTTGGTCGTGGTTGATTTAATATCGAATTTAGTTTAGGAGAGCTTTTACGTTGCATATTTCTGAGTAGGTAGGCATATTATAAGGATATTTAGTCCAGGTTATAGGTATAATATTTTTTGACAAAAAAATTAGTTACCAGTTAAACCGGCTTTTTCATGCAGGTGAAATGATTAGAAATTAGGGAAAAATAATTAAAACAGCCGAATTTTTCCGCGGGTGCCATCCCGGGGTTTGAAAGGAATGGGAGGTGGTAGTTACAAAAGGAACGGCATTGTTGCGCTTCCAGTGCAGATAATCGCATTCCATTAGGAGGCCCGAGTAATTAATAATGAGACTTCAATTTCAATGTCAGTATAAAACGACAAAATCATCACAATTATTTTGTTAGAAGAAAATCTACTCGAAAAAATTAAAAGTAAATGTCATTATTTTAGCTAAACTATTTCCAAATTTAAAACGAACCAAACCAATTGAAATGTAAAAATTTCTATTGTATTAAACCAAGGATAGGTTAAAGCAGCGCAGATCTTTTGAGCTAATAAATCCATGCCATTCATTTTCATTCTACTAACTTATTTTTAGTTTGGCAAAGTGGGAATACCTGCTGAAAACGAACCGCATTAGATACCTACCTACCTCCCACACCCCCAAATCCAACTTGGACTAGTCGGTTGGGATGTTGGTTGCCTATGCTACAGTGGTAGGTATCCGAGGGACATTACTTTTACAAGAGACTGTACATTGGTTAATGTACAATGCTATTTTTCAGTGTTAGTTATTACTTAATCTTATTTCTTGCAATTGAGGAAAACCCATTTAACAAGGGCTACCATTGTGCAGTGAACGACGGGCCTGCTCCACGAGTTATTCATTGGAACAACCCTGCAAAAATCGTTGTGGGAGGATTCGATCGATACGGACCCGGAACGCTTTGTAGATTTTGTTTTTACGGATGCGGAACTTTTGATCCCGTGATGATATGCGTAAAAACTAGATCCGATCATTACCAATTTTAACGTTTCCACTTTTTATATTATTATTATTAAATTATTATTATTATCCCTCTCTTTGTTTTGGGCCCTCAACAGGCATGCGCCCAATTACAAAGTGACCATGCTATTTAGAGGTGCCTCTGCAGAAGGTTCTTAAGTTGGTCTATACTACTCCGGTATTTACCTTACGAATTAGGAAAACTGCAGGAAAACCTAATTCGGAGTAGCCGGTAGAATGCTCGAAACTGGTCTAAGGTAATTTCCATCTCCGCCACAGATGAAAAATTCACCTCAACCCAGGTTCGAACACCCGATCTCCGGATTTATAACTCTACCGCTCTACCACTGAGCCATAAATCCGATTAAAGTCATTGATGTAAAATGGCGCCCGATACTTTAAATTAACTCTTTAGATTTGGATCAATATGTTTTGTTATTGCACCTGTTATTGAAAATACCTATTCATTTAGTTTTTTGTTTGGTAATGGGATAGAAGTTTTATAAATACCCAAATTATCTTTATTTTCAAGTGTATGTTACTTATACTTTTCTTTTTTCTTGCAGCTGACTTCTTTTTCTTCCGTCACCTTAGGTTTCGACGATTTTGTTCAGATGACTGTATCTTAGATTAATTGTACTGGCTGTGTGGTTTAGATTACCACTTACGGATATCGAAAAATAAAACACAAGAAGAAAAATATAAAAAACGATATCTATAGTATAAGAAAAAAAATAAAAATAAAAAACAATATACCTCAAATAACTCAAAATTTTCTGTTATTTGGCTCCAAATTTTGTGATTTGACTGTACTACATTGGATAACTTAGAGCAAAAGATTTTTTATTGTACTTAAAAGAAAAAGGAGCTATCATTTTCAAGAAATGATGTCCAACGGTCTTGATGGATCGGTTGTGGGTCAACAGAATGGTGGGGGCGGTGGTCAAGGTGGAGGACAAGAAGAATCAAAAACAAATTTAATAGTTAATTATTTGCCACAAACCATGACACAGGAGGAAATAAGGTCGCTCTTTTCCAGTATAGGCGAAGTCGAAAGCTGTAAATTAATACGGGATAAGGTTACAGGTGAGCGATCTAATAATTTATTGATGATACACTCTTAGCATGCTACAGTTAGTTGTCTTTTAATCTTACGAATGCATGAGATTTGACGTCAAGTATTATTTAATTATTCTTTTTATATTCGGAAATATTCGTATTTTCTATAGTAGTTATTTATGGAGCTTTATAGCACTTGAAATGTTGCCAAAGCCGAACCATATTGTATTGATTTCGTATAATATTCTATCAGATATGCATGCTGTGTATACGAGCAGCAAACAGTATTCCAGGGATTGATTCAAAATGAAAAAAAGAATAACTGGAAGCAAAGGGGAGGAAGTAAATTAAGGACGTACGATCTATTATTTTTAGATCTAGTTTTTTCAAGATGGATAAAATGATTTGGACTGTCTTGAATTTCTGCCGCTGAAACAGTATTCGTAAAAGTATGCTCATAATGCAATATGCGTAATCAAAATAATCCATAATGACAATATTATTTGTTCTTAGTATACATATATGTCAATAATAATTACGATGCCAATTGCAATATCGTCAATTGCATATTGATTGCATACTTAGGTATTTAAAAACACCGTAACTGCCGGTATTCTATATCTAATGAATTAGGTTTGTTGCTTTAAATTTTGTAAAACTAGTCCCCTGGGCCTTGTTGTGGAACAGAAAACGAACAACTAGGGCGGAAACCCGACTCATTTTCCTGATTTTCGAACGGTTTACCGTCAAGCCATAAGTTTTGGAATGTAACGATTGAACTGGAGTGGGATTAGTTATGACCTTTTCTTCTGTTTGGAAAGGCATAATGGCCGAAGGAGGGTGAAACGAAGGCTTGGTGAACGGTTTTTTGTTGATCGGCTTCACTGTTAAAGCCTCAGTACAGACCGCTTTTGATATTCATTTGAGATACCCTGAATGTCCAACCAAACGTAATGTCGTGGTTTCAATACAAGAATACTCTCTAGTTGCAGAGGCCAATCTCCGTCTCTTGCCATGGTTAACCAGATCTTCCCGCCTTGGCTTTATTAAACATGTGTAGGACATTTTGGCACGGACGCTGGAATCCCATAAAATGATGGGGGAGGTGTAGCTTTTAGAAATATAGGGCCGAATCCGGAAAATCTACACTTGATAAAACATCGCGCAGTGTTGATACCAATAAGAAACAGTCGGAAGCGCAGCGATTGCCATCATATCCGATCAGTGTTTTAAATTCGTTGCATTACAGATGTCATTCATTGTACAACTTTGACCTTTTCTATAATTAGAAATTACTCGCTTCCTTTACGCTCAATTCTTTGGCGCCTTTCATTGACGTCTCTTTGCCATTACCGGCACCAAAGGAGGAACTCACATTTGTCTGTTCAAAGCCAGAACCAATACCGACCTACTAATCGGAACTTAATTCGTCGGAAGTAGGGAGTGACATTCCGTTAAATGTTTTTGACACAAGCACCTGCGTATAGGTACGTGTGTCATTTTTGGCGCAGGAAACGCCGACTACTAAGTGACAGGCATCGCGAGAAAAAGATGGGAGAATCATAAACTAATTCATTCTAATAAAAGATATAAAACAAACAAAACAGCTACACTCAATAAAGCTCTACATGCGCAGCCATTAAATAATTTTTTCTACGCGGAGTGCATTCACCTCTTCAGTTTTACTTTGATTCACGTTGATTTTTTGTATAAAGGATACAAATTTTGCTTTTTAACAAATCCCGTCTCGGTGGCATACATATACTCCTTTTGACTTCCTTAACATTTGTATTATCCGATAAATCAAATGTTTCATCCACCGCATGTACGCTACGGCATGGGCCCCTTCTATTACATCACAGTGCGTGATTGAAACAGCTGTGAAGGGTGAACCCCAACTGCTCGAAATCATGTTACTTTGCTAGAGTAATATCGAATTTCGCGTACCCCGCATAGGATCAATTATTTTAATTCGAGTGTACCACGAGCGCAGACCGAGGTCAACTTTCTAGGTAACTCTTAAGGTTAACCAAGCTTCATTGTCCAAAAGTATCCCTTTCAACTGTATGCACTGAGGAATACGAATAATCCCTGCAAAGTTAATTAAAAAATATTTGGGGAATGTGAATCAACGACAAACCTCAAATCTTACCCCAGAAGAACATATAGAAAAATTCAAAGTGGATTAATACTGCACAACGTGAATATAATAGCGATAATATGCCCATGAGGAAATGTAGAAAAAATGGTAGTTAAGCCGGTATTATCATTCCACAGTTTTCGACCTTCGTTAACAAACACTGAAAGAGTGCGGTAGTGTTTGTGTTTTAATTTCGGTTCTTTCACGAATTCATTGTTAAGTATTTAGTGGTATCAGTCCGGATATGTTGACCGATTAGGACATCGATAAGCTTTCTATTTAAATAATTTAATACGTTTTGGAATTATAGGCGAGGTTGTGAGCATTTTAGCATCCCCTCGCCTACTCCGACACTAGGAAAGAAATCTACCTAGCCATGAACAAAACAAATGAATAAGGTCTGTTACTCTACCACCCAAATTTGACTTCCTATGACAATTACTTTGCATTTTACGTGGTGTTTTATGTGACAATATGGGTTCTCTGAAGCGTTATAAAGTTTCTAACAAAAGACCAAAAACGATTCGCAAAAGAATGATTGCCGTGTCTGTGCATGATGCGCCATCGTATTATGTGGACTAAACTATTGAAAGACCAAGAACTGCAAAAAAACGATGAAATGGTTGCACTAACGGTATAACATTGGGAATATCTTAACCCAGCGGATTGAGCATAATTCACGACCGTTTGAACATTAGCAAGGTGCCAGCGTGGTGGATTTCCCCACCGTTGACGCCTGAACAGAAGTTTTGCAGAACATAAATTTCGCAATACCATCTGGCGATGCTGTTTTTTTGCACAATTTGTGGCTGGTGATAAGACTTGGGTGCACCATTGGGGCCAAGAAACGAAGTTAGCATCCAGACAATCGATCCACAAAGATTCTCCTTCAAAAAAGGCACGCACCCAACCATCTGCTGGCAACAGTTTTTGAGATATGAAGGGTGTTCTCCTAATGGAATACATGATAAAGGGAACTACTATTGCAGAGGTCTCTGACAACACAATCTTCCAAAGCCATTGACGATAAACGTCCCTCTCAGGCCAATCACAAAATGTTTGTGCTAAGTACACAACAATGCAACGGTGCCAAATGCTGCCAAAATCAAGCCAATTCCGCAAAAATGTGGCTTCATAATAATCGACCATCCTGTCTGCAGTCCAGATTTGGCGCCTTCCGACATTTTTTGTTTGGATTGTCAAAGAAGCACCTTCGGGACCGCCGTTTTGACACGGATGTTGGCGTTGGCGACCTTCTATCAGACAAGGAAGAAATGTTTTTTCCCACGGTATTAGTTCGTTAGAAGACAAATGGCTTAAGTGTATCGATCTTAGGGGAGACAACATTGAAAAATAAAATAATCAAAACAATCGTATGTCTTTTGTTTCATGCCGAGGTAGATTTCTTTTCTAGTGTCCCTCGTAGTTTAAATTCAGACCTCAATTCGCTTGCATGCAGAGAGAATTCAAAAGCCTTTTGCACATCCAAGCTTTCAGGGTGGCTCGGGTGCATCTTACTCTTCTAAAACCATATTGAACGTCTCCCTTCCAAGATCCAATAGCTGTTAAATCTTAATATGGTCTGGATCATCCAGAAATGCTCTATGTAGGAATTGGCACCTGCAGAAACGTACACTTCCGGGTGGTCGCTCGTAAATCGGACAGCGTATAAGTGCAGAATTTAATAAGAAATACACCATTCCCGTTTTATATGCGCGTAAGTGTCCAAAAATACCACCAATTTGTGGTTCTGTTTATGTAGCCGTTTCGAATTTGTCTTTTTTTATTCAGTTGCAAACTTGCATATGCATAATTTTTGCCGCCTTTACAATTTTTTGTGAAATACTGCTACATAACACTTTGAGTCATTTTTAACGAATATTCTCTGCACAACTGAGTAGTTTAGGTATGAACATTCGCAAAGAAAAGCGTACTGTGAGAATAGGCCGAAGAAAACTCCAGCCTGTGTTAATTAAAAATGTATAGCCGTGATAAGACGCATCGCCAAAGGGGACGCTTCGTTCCCAAATCCCCAGTTGTGAAATAATAAACATATAAAATATTTGACGGTGTGTCACAATTGCTCGCAACGAAATTGAAATCCTCAAAATATTAAAAAATGGCCAATATCTCTGTACCGTGTGTCCTATTTTGGTTGAGACTGCGCTGTATCTAAAGTTTTCGTGACCCTGTGCGACTTTTTATTGAAAGCGGCCAAAAAATTAATTTTTGCTACGCCACTGGATTCTACGTAAAAATATATAGAATAGAATGGGCAGTGCCTTTTTGCTATCTTATAGGTCAAACATAGTCAAACTTTTCGTTTCCACCCTGTATCTCAGAAACAAACGTAGCTAGATTGAGTTCTGTTTGTGGCATTAAAAGTTTCACAAAAAAGTGGCACAGAGACGCGAAAACCGCAAGTATAACAGCTAAGATACACCGCAATCTCAACCAAAATAGGACACACGGTAGGTAACATTGACTGACTGACTGATATTATACAAGGCATAAGAAATCAATTTTAAAAAAAACCAATAGCCACATAAAATATTTAGGCGGGTGCGTTTGTGCGAAATTGACGTTTCATTGCTGAAAGTTTTACTGCCAAATATTTTATGAGGCTTTTGGTTTTTTATTTTTACCTTTATTAATTTTAAAGTCGGGGGGCCAGTTTACCTGCTTTAGAAACTAATTCCATTATGCACATCGTAAGTCGATAAGTCTTGTACTTAAACAAATACTTATTGAAATTTTACTGGGGAAAAAAAATCTGCAATTGGCACCGGTTTTAACAACAAAGCTGTGAACGTCAGCGAACAGCTTTGCTGTGGAACCCCTCGTTCATGTTATTATGATTATTGATTTTGGTGTTTATTGCACCTTTTTTTCTTTAAGATTTATGTGCTTGCTTTCAAAAATACTGACGTCATGATTGTTAAGTAGATGTTTTGTTAGAATTGTAGATACTATCAGTCTTTGCATGCTAACTTCTATTTCTTGATGGAATATCTTATGTGTACATTACATTAATCTTCAGTAGTAACATAGATTGCGAAAAGTGTATCTACAATTGTTTTTGTAATTTTTTTTATCGCAGTTAACTTAGATATCTAAGTTAACTTTTATTATTTTATTTATTAATAGTTGTTTTTCGCAATTTTTGTTGCCTGCAGTGCCAGATGGAGTTTTCAGTACTAGTCCATTGGTTACAGGGCAAAGTTTGGGATACGGTTTTGTCAACTACCACCGGCCTGAAGATGCAGAAAAGGCAATCAACACATTAAATGGACTGAGGCTACAAAACAAAACTATCAAGGTAAGCGATTTATAGAAACATATTGGAAATAAGGCTTGTTTCGCTAACCTCCGTTCTTAGGTTTCATACGCGAGGCCAAGTTCCGAAGCAATAAAAGGCGCCAATCTGTACGTTTCAGGATTACCAAAGAATATGACCCAACAAGACTTAGAAGCTTTGTTCAGCCCATATGGACGGATCATTACTTCACGCATTCTCTGTGACAACATAACCGGTAAGAAAATTCATCCGATTACGCCAAGAACTAGATACTCTATTTCAAAAAAACCTCATTTTGTTGCATATCTTGAAATAGAGATATTCAAAATTTGGCTTTGCAAAAGTTTTCATCTTCAATTGCTGCAGAGGTTCGTGGACTCCTAAATGTAGAGGAAACTATGGAATGGAATTTGCTGTAATTTGTATTTGAGGGACGTCAGTATTTTAATTATGTGCCATTAAGTGGTCTGAGTGTACCATTTCAAGCTTAGCTTATCCTCTTTGTAAATACATCTGAATATCTGTACCTTTAAATGTTTTTTGTATAGCTGTCATATCTTGTAAGTTCGTGAGTCCACAACTACTGTTGCTTAGGTTTCCAAAATTAATGCCACTGTCACAAACATACATACAAAATACAGCAACATACTTTTTGCTTTACAGTCAGTAAAGATTATTTTGTTTTTGTTAATTTATTCAATGTAGCTTTGAGTTAATTATTATTATTGATGTATGTATATTTTAATTTTTAATTCAAAGTTACTATAGTATAATTTAAATTTGCGAATGTCCATAGTGTTTAGGCACTTGGCGTTTCCAATATATATTTTTTATGAATTATTTGTCTTATGGTACTTATATTTTGCGTTTTATTCTCTTCTCTTTCTTAGTACGTCAGTTTGTCACGGGGGCCGGAGAGAATGTGCCTGGTACGTACCATCCCTTCACTATCTTTACACCCCACTGTACAACACCTACAAAATCATCCGCCTGCGATTTGTTTGTTCTGTTTTGGCAAAGTTTACAGTACTTACTCACTGAAAAAAAATGTTGATCTATAATCGAAGAGCAAAATTAATATGTAACATGATTTTTAGCGCGATTCAATCTCTCGCAAAATTTATACGCAAATATCTGCAGTAGGTATATGCATGCGTATATTTTGTAATACATATGTATATATCTAAAATCCCCCAGTTGCAAATGACGATTTTTTTTTCGATTATAGTTTGTCAATTATCGTGCACTCGCTTTTTGTGTTTTTTTTAAGTTTGTTAAGTTCAAATTGTAGCATATTGCGTAGTTTTTTTTGTTTCTTTGTTTGGTTCAGTTTTGTAAACAAATGCTAATACAGTCAGTTAATCATTACACTTCGTGTACAACAAAACACATACACATTTAAAATAACAACTTCCTCGAGCGTCTACAGAGAAATCATTGGTCATTTGTTAAAATGCCGGACTTATCCTATAGACGGTCCAGTAAGTTTGTGAATTATTAAACTTTACACGCTTCGTCAGAATGAATATTTTTAAACACCATTAATATTAACTCAAAATATTTTATCATTTTTTCTTATAATTTTGACGTTAGCGTTGTTTTTTTATTTGTTTAGAAATAAACAGAAAACGTTTCCCGGTAAAGGCTGTTTAGGAATTTTTATTTACTATAATTTTATAGTTTTTAACTGGATAACTAAACAAATTCTTAAACGGTCTTCTTAGTCAAAAATTTTAAAATAAATATCCGGTAAATTATGAGAAAAATAGACATAAAAGTTCGATCTCTTGTTCTTTGATCCCAGGCCTATCAAAAGGCGTTGGATTTATAAGATTTGATCAACGCATGGAAGCAGAACGAGCAATCCAAGAGTTGAATGGTACAATCCCTAAAGGATCTACAGAACCCATAACTGTTAAGTTTGCAAATAATCCCAGCAACAATAATAAAGCCATCCCACCACTGGCAGCTTATCTTACACCCCAAGCAACACGTCGCTTCGCTGGCCCAATTCACCATCCCACAGGCCGGTTCAGGTATATTTTAATTTTTTACTTTATGCGTATAATTTTAATATTTTTTTATGACTCTTGGTTAGTTCTTTCATTTGAGTATTTTTTTCGCCACTTAACAATTTATACATACCTAAAGGGTTGGAACTGATAGGGAATTTATACCAACTGAAATACTACATGCTGAAGTGTATGTTGCTGGATTTTAACTTCCTTGAACGGATATCTTTGAATATAACTCATCGTGTACGCTTCAACCCTATTGCATTCGATTGGTGTAAGAATTTTACTCTAAACTTTCTGCCCTGCGATACCTATAGTGGCCATACAAACAGAACAAAGATTGCATAATATGGAAATGGGAAATAATCCTCGAATGGCCCTGAATTCTTGCACTAAATCATTGTAAATCCGGAATGTTGCAACACAATGTGTATTTATAATTATTTCCTATCACAGGTTAATAAATAGGTATGTCTAATCAAGTAATTAGTACTGGGCATCTTTATTTAAAACGTTAAATGTACCTACAAGTTTATTGCTTGGTTTAAATAGGAACATTTCAATGTTAAAATTCTTAATTATGGCAGAACAGTTCCTGATTGACTGCTTATAGTGTTAATTATGTACCTATGGTTATATTAAGCATTTGTTACAATATTCAAGCATTTTGATAACAAAAAAAACTGTCTATTAGGTCTTTCGAACCTAGTGAGTTCAACTATTATGAGAAATTGTTCAGATAAAGCGCGTAATGCATTACAATTACTCTCCAAATGTACTTGAAAATTAAGCACATTATGCATTAACACTACACACAGACAAAACGGTGATCAACAACCGTCCAGACACTAACGCAAAATGATCATTTAGCAGAGCCCCCCTCAAGCTAAAAGCTTTGTGACAGGGGTTTGTAAACATAGTACCAGCAAAAGTTTCGTCACTTTAAAGCAACTTGACTTGAACAGTTCTCAATACTAATGCACAAAAGGAAGTCATTTTAAAAACATCCTCAATTCTATTTCCTAATAAATTAGGCGGTGGGTACTAAAAAAATATTACATAGTCAGCTTTTCCTGTATGTTTACAAAGTGATTAAGTTGCAGATTTATACGCTAATATTTTGACACTTAAGGTTTGCATAATAATAATATTAAATATTATTTTATTTACCTAAATAAGTGCACTTAAGGTACGATTTTGAACTTACAGAACCATTAATTATTACGTAAGCATATTCTCCCTATCAACCTCTTCAGGTATAAAGTACTGTGGCCAAAATTACTAAATCAACGTCCAGAAATAATTACAACAAATTGAACCAATATTTTCATTGAGTAAGTAATATACAGAAAAGTATAGCATAAACACCACTGTAGTATAAAACTTATCTTTTTACTAACGTTATGTGTCTAGTACCTTTATAGTACTGTTGGTAAGGTAATTTAGGAGCAGTAGGAGAAATCATTTTCTTTATATTTATACTACTATACTTTATATCTTTATCTATAAAACTAAAAAAAATTTCTACATGCATTTCATATGTACCCAGAGCATCATGTTTGGTTTACAAAACCGCGTTAGTATATTTAATAGTAGGTCGCCCCTTTTTTGTGGGTGTTCTAAGGAGAACGGCATGATGCACGATCATATTTGTATAGGGTACCAAAAAAGTACATATTTTTACGACGAGCGAAATCACAAAAAAATGTTGGTACAGTTTCGTAAACTAGTAAACATAGCCATACTACACTTTTTGATATTACTTACTCAATTATGATTGGTACGATTGATTTGAATAACAGTTGTTACTACTATTAACTACTATAGGAGCTAAGAGTAAGTGTAATTCCTTAGGTATTCTCCGCTGGCCGGGGACCTGTTAGCCAACTCGATGCTGCCAGGAAACGCAATGAATGGTTCGGGGTGGTGCATATTTGTTTATAATTTAGCACCAGAAACGGAAGAGAACGTTCTGTGGCAGCTTTTCGGTCCATTCGGTGCCGTACAGAGCGTAAAAGTTATTCGTGACCTGCAGACTAACAAATGCAAAGGCTTCGGTTTCGTCACAATGACCAATTATGACGAAGCCGTGGTAGCGATTCAGTCACTGAACGGCTACACACTGGGTAATCGCGTATTGCAGGTCAGTTTCAAGACTAACAAGAGTAAAACCACATAGAGCAGTGACATAGCGTCGTAATTTATATGGTCTCTTATCTGTACTGACACTGCGATTTTCGTAATAGTATTTTTATTTATTGAAACTGAATTCTTCTCTATTGTATTATATTTTAAGATGGAATCGAAATCGCAGGGTGACGTACAGTCGTGACCGTACCTGAGGACCTAGTCCTCGTAAATAATTAATTAGTACTTATATAAAAATACGAAACTAGTCAAACAAGTGCATTCAGGTTTTTCCTATAGCACCGTATATGTTAATTTGATTATTTGTATTCTGTTTGTGCCATTGTATTTTTCTAAAATGTATTTGGAAAATAGTCCAAATATTCACGTAATAAGTATTTATAGAATAATTTATTTTTCATAAAATGAGTTAAAAATTAGTTACAATTTCTGATGTATTTATTCTATATGTAGTGTTTTGTGTATTTATATATTTAAATGAACTAGTCGCATATGCAACGCCGATACTGTATACAGATGAGAAGTGTAATAGTCTGATTGTATGTTTGTTTTGTGGCGTTGCTGTGTATTTGTGTTATTGCAATTTATGAAAGAGCAAATTTTTTTTAGTTTCGAACTGAAATCATGCGTTTGCTGTTTTGTAAATTGCGGAAATCTCATTTGTGTGTTGTGTTGTTTAATGTTCAGTTACATGGTTACTTATTACCATTCTCTAACACCTTTATCCCTAAAGCTTTCTGACAATTGTATTGCAGTGGTTTTGCTTAAAATGCCATCATTTTATCGCGACGGCAATGCTTTTGCGAGACCACAACTGAATACAAAATTTCGTTTTTTTTTCATTTCTTTTGTTTATTTGATTTTTTTAATTATGCATGCCGCAGGCAGTATGATTCTTTTAGCTTTAGTTTATAGTTAATAGTATTTTTTGTTTCCATTACCTAATTATTATAATTTGTTTTTTTTTCTGGATACATAGGGGATTTCAATTAAACTTACTTTCTTCTTTATCATTTTGTTTTACTATTTTATTTATTTCCCATTTATACTAGTTGTGCTGTCTCGTGTAGTGTTCGCTGACGTCAATGCATAAGCAGGGCAATACGCCGTAGCCATTTGGATTAAAAGGCGTAAGGTCTCTAACCACCCATCGACTAACTAACCACTTCCACTAAAAATCTCTTTATTTTTATAAAACACTCGTACCTTGAAAGCCGATAATAATAAGAATAATTTTAAAATGAATCTAAAGACACATATTTTTATGCTAAAAGATTGTACTTGGAGGTGCAATCTGGATTCAGTTTGATTTACAAGCGTAACGCACACGAAAAACGCCATTGGGCGCAGAATATATACGGACATGTAAATAGAAACTACATAATATAAATTTCATCGCACTAGCAAAAGTACAATTGAAGGCAACCGTTTATTACTTTAATATTTCGTTTCGTTTTCGTAAGTATAGCGCTAAAATAACAACAAGAACTGGTAAGGGATGTGTGCAAGGCAACGAAAAGTTCTCGCACCAGACCCGATACCGAAATTTTCTATCCCGCCCCCCGCCTGTGATAGCCACGTGCAAGGGCCTAGTCGCGGGGGGCCCGCACGGCCCTGCACCCTGACCCTTCTGTTGGAGCACCCCGGCTGGGACCGAGAGCCGTGCAGGACACGAGCGTGAATACGGGTCGATGTACAATCAGTTAGGTGTTCCCAAGCACAAACTAGGCAACATTAGGTGATGCTATCGGTTATTCTCTGGCCTAAATCGAAACTCGCGTAGACTAATTCCATAATACAGAACAACGATCTTATTGCAAATGATAATGTTATATATAATATTATATATGTCTGTCAACATTGCTTGTTTACCATTCTTAGCTTCTATTTGACTAGCCATTTGCTATTATATACCGCTTAACTTTTTTAAACTTGTATAATGATTATCTATTATGAATTATTATGACTTACGTATCACTATCTATAAGAGTTATTATCTCTTTGTGTGTTGTGTAGATCTCTAGCATAAGTGTAAGATAGTACATATTCTTATTGGTTACTTTCTCTACGTGTGTAGCTGTTGTGTTACGGGCGGGCGCCCCAGCTATCTGGATTTTTTTTGCTGCTGAGGCGCTCGCCCTGGACGCGGGCTTGCCCGGTCCCGCCCGGCGCTACGCAGGGCAATAGCTCAAATATTGTTGTGACAGGAAACATTCCATTATTAAGAAACCATTGATGATATATACTCATACCTATATTCTATCTGTTTTGATAAAAATGGTGGTTATTATTATATGAAACGAGTGCAAAAGTTATATGTACAGAGGTTATATATTAGGAAGTACAGTACCTCATAAACTGTAATTCATGCAATAACTTATTATAAGAAAAGTTCTTATTACAATGTAACGTTAGCTTTAGGATAAGAGACAAGGTTTGATCTCTGCACCTTTCTGTGGAGGACCCACCTGAAACAATCCAACCTATCGGTTTGGTCCTCCGCCTCCCTCCTCTAACCTAAGGTGAGATGCACCGCCACATGTGTTAAGAGCCGGGGCTAAAACGGAAGGTGAAGCGACATATCAACAGACCGACCCCACAAGATATGGTGCACACCCTATCCTCCACCAATCAAACTGAACTGACTCTGATCTCTTTTTCCAAGCCTATTTAGTTTAATCGATCGAATCATCTGTTAATTGTCTTCTTGCTTATTGTCCAGTGTCACATGCTGCATTTGTGTGTATATTATTGTCATTTGATGGTTATTTGTATTTATCTATTTATTGTAATATTAGATTTCAGTATTAGTTAAGACCGTAGTAGCTATTTGAGGTTACGTACAGATGGTTTCAGTGCAGTGTTACGTTTGATTGGGTTGTTCCGCTTAGACATCGCTCGGATATAATTCGTTTTTGTGACGACTTTGTTAAAAACAGTAAGGAAATTGTTGGATTTATCGAGGAAAATTTTCATACACTGGCACTGGACACTGGCAAATACAACGTGTTTAATTATTAAAATAAGTAAACGAGCAACGTCTCGTTGCATTGCGTGCAGCAATGGGCAGCAGACAAAAATACTAATATTACACACAATGTAATTGTGTACTCCAGGCTAGAAGTCGGTGTAATGCAATATTTGTACTTTTCCATGTTGACAAAACTCAATACAATAAAGTATAAAAAACTATTCACATTTTTTCTTCCTTATTTACTAGACATAAGGCGTTTTTTGAAACTTAGTGCTGTGGGATAGGTCGTGACTTGAGTTATAGGTAGTCCTTCACCTGGGACAAGTCTTCAAAAAATACCGGACCAGTTAAATTTGGGTAAGTGAGCATACAATTAATCTACCACATGTCTAGTGAAATTGAAAACTAACGTGCAGTTATACTAAGAAAACAGTCTACAAAGTCAGTTTGTGATCTTGCAATGCTTTAAATCAAATTCAGTATGTTTGTCTAAGCCAGTGGTTTTCAACTTCATTAAAACTAGCAAATACTACTGTTTTGTATATATGTATTTTATTTAGCTCATACATCCAAATGGATTATGTAGAAAAATATTGACGATTTCTTTTTTTAGTGAAATGTCACTCTTTCCGTACTTTTTTCTGCGAGTCTACGGATTTGCAAAAAAGCATAACGATTTTTGATCGACCAAAAAAAACATCTGTGGATTTTATTATCCTATATCAATCTATAGAATCAACACTGCAAAAAGATAGTCATTAAAGTTTGTAATAAAAAAAGCAAAGTGTATATACTATATAGTCTTACCTCTAAAATCAAGCAGAAAGATTATTGCCCCAAATCAACAAGACAAAAGTATTTGCGAGTTGGGTAAAATTAAAACAAGTAAAAGGTTTTTGCCTCAAGGCGAGTAACTTAGCGTATGCATTATGGCATTGTTTTTTAAACAATGATTATGGTTAAAATCCCAAAGAAAGGTCTCCATAAATAAGAAAGTTGGTCTTGCACATGTGCACATCATCTTTTTACAATTGCGGTATGTTTGCCTTTACTAGAAACATTGGTTAAAAATTTAAAAAAATAAAGTTGCACAATGCGTACATCTGATGTTTACAAAATGCGATGTTTGCCTTTACTAGAAACATCTTTATTCCAATTAAGATATAAATGTGTAAATAAGGAAATTAGCATTGCGCATGTGCACATCTGATTTTTACTATAGTATGCCTTATGTTTGACTTGACTAAAAGTGTTTGTGGTCAAAATTGCCACAAAGCCTAAATTAATAAATAAAAATGTTGATAATGCACATGCGCATATTAGATACTATAGCTATAAAGCTACCGAATTCATAAAGAACTAACTAAATAGTTGAAAACTGTAGAAGTAACTAGTTGCGGCCTTACAAAATGAGTTGAAAAATGGGCTAAAAAAACAAACATCAAGATCGGACTTTCAGCGACTCAATAATAAAGTACAATCAGACCTATCCATTCTATAATCGAAAATTAGAGAACATTACAATGTACATCTTGCAACTAAAATATGGCTACGACCATATAGTACTGTATAGTCAATGCTAAGTGTACCATGTTTGGAGGGAGTTGACCATGGCACTTGGCGTTATCACTTGTAGGTAACCTGTGTAAAATTAGATTAGTTATTGCGGTTTGTATACCTATAACATTTGAGAACTTTTGTTGACTGGGAACCATACTTTAATGCATTCAGAAATCGGAAGACAATTATAATGTTCAGTAGATATATAAATATAGATCGGGTCATTCACAAAAAGTAATGATCGCCTAATAGGTAAACCCTGCATCATAAGCAACTAACGCATGCCTATCACATCAGCTTTAATCGGTTTCTTCAAGGAGGAGGTACCATAATTGATTGGTTCACATTTTCAAGTTTCGCAATAGGTAGGTATATTACAATGTTGGTTGCGTATGCTGCAGAATTTACCTATTCAACGATCATTACTTTTGTCAATGACTACGGAGTACAGAATTCTAAATCCACCATATCTGAAATCTTTACCACCAAAAAGGCAAATGCACATATTTCCCAAAAAAATAGTAGTTTTTATATCAATTTAAAGATTAAGATTTTGAGTTTAAAGCAGTACGAACTTGTATTGATTACAGCCAATTTCTTTCAATGTTGTGTGCCAATAGAGATCGTTTTTGGGGGGGGGGGGGGGTTAGCTCTGAGGTGCACCACAAAAACATTTTAAAGTACTCCTTTCTCGAAAATAAATTACCATACAGTTTTTTTTTAAATTGCAGCTGATAATTAAAAGTAACAAAATATACAATCCACACGAGGTGCGTCGCCTATCATTGTATTTCAGCACTTTCATGCTACGACAAAAAATTATAAATTCATTGTAAAACACTTCAATTAAAACAGAATTTTTTAACAACCTAACATCAACCCCAATTAGAGAAACATGTTAATAATTTATTAATAGTGCAAGAAACTAAATACAGCACATACTTATAAATTTCCAACGGGCCATTATGATCTACAGGCCAGGTGGCAATCGCCACTCGCCCCCCCCCCGGGCCAGTGCGCCCCTGGTTATATACACTGCCTTTTTTGAGCCCCGAAAAAAAAATTGTCTCAGATCGACCCGGAAAAAAAATTTTCTTATAGAATGTGGCCTGTAGAATCCATAATTTCAAACAATTCCAAGATTGGGCTACTAGTTCAAAAGTTACAGCCCTTTGAATTTTTTTTCGAAATTGGTTTCTAGTCTATAACTTTTGATTGAGAAGTCTGATCGAAAAAGTACGAATTGATTTGGATTTTACGCACCCAAATTAATAAGAAAAAGTGTTTTCCCGAGAAATTTTGGTGTAGTCGAATTTTGGTAAAAAAGGAAGGTTATACACTGCCTTTTTTTGAGCCCCGAAAAAAAAATTCTCAGATCGACCCGGAAAAAAAAATTTCTTATAGAATGTGGCCTGTAGAATCCATAATTTCAAACAGTTCCAAGATTGGGCTACTAGTTCAAAAGTTAAAAACGAAGGCTGCCTTTTTTTGAGCCCCGAAAAAAAAATTCTCAGATCAACTCGGAAAAAAAAATTTTCTTATAGAATGTAAAATTTTTTTCCGTCTGTATGCATGTGCGTACGTTGGCAATTTCCAAGGTAACGGCTCGACGATAGCCTAAAGAGCTGCAGTCTTCCTCCAAAATTCATAAAAATAAACTCCTTGATCGACAGGAAAATGAATATAAAAGATTATAACCTGAATGGGTGACAGAAAGCAAAGGCTTGCCTCTAAAATTAATAGAAAACGGACTTGCCGCTATTGATCTAAAAATGCATATTTCTGTAGCAAAACGTTACTTTAATTATATGAAGAGGGACAGTACACAAACTATACAAAAATACATCTAAAGGCTTTGCCTCTAAAAACATGATCAATAATACAAACTTAGCAAATAGAAGTAGGTATTTATTTCCATACTTTGTACACAGAAATTAAGATTATTTCCTTGCAGCTGCGGCTGCTTCATCTTCCTTTTGATAATTTTGAATAATTTCCTGTTTTTTAAGTGCAATCCTTTCTTCACGACGTTTCCTTGCTTCTTTAACCTTTAATCTTCGCGCTTCTGCTTGATCATGCAATGATTTGGTTCGTGCTTTTTCTGCTTTCTTTTTATGGATATATTCCATTAAAACCCTCTTGTTCTTAAATACATTACCCTTCGCCTTCATATACAAGGAATGATATAAATGTCGATCGATCTTTTTAGCTTCACGATATTTCTTCAAAAGACGTCTCAGAACACGCATTCTTTGTATCCACAATTCCTAAATGCACATATCAACATGATTTGCGATAACATAAATCTTGCAAATTACCTTTTGTGGCATGCGAGCATTTGCGGTACCCTTTCGTTTACCAAAACCACAATGCCTTCCTTTACGTCTTGCCTCAGTATTCTTACGGACACGTGCACGTGAGTGAACAGCGACCGGTTTTTTAATAATCAAACCATCTTTGATCAGTTTACGGATATTTTGACGAGAATTTGTATTGGCAATTTCGTTTATTTCATTTGGATCTAGCCATACCTTCTTCTCACCACATCGCATCACGGAAGCTGCAAGCCTCTTTTGCAACTTTAAGGAGCTAGAAATGAATTAGGTACACAGAATCTAGAGAGACTCCTTTAGATGTTGGCAAATACATATTTGCAACTATTTACGCAATATTATCTAAAATTATCAACATTCAAATTTACCTCATTTTTCACAATTAGACAGAATGTTTACTACGTTAAGCAATAAACAACGTATTAATTAGAAAACTCAGAAATTTTGAGCTGAGAATTGTAAAAAAACATCCGAAGATTAGCACACACAACAATATTCTTCTCCACTTGCTCACACTACACAGTCTTCACTATCAGTCTATCACTTGCAGATGTGTTCCACACTGACTCCCTGTACTGCGCAAACGCAAGCGCGCTAAAATTTGAATTTGTGTACAGCTGTCAAGTGTAAGGGGTAAATAATATACACATAACCTGCAAACGTTATAATTGAAGATAATTTAGCTTACCTGCTTACCTATTATATGTAGTAGGTATATGAAAATGCCATGTTATCAAGATGAATTTTGTTGTTATCTACATTTGGAGTGCATGGTCATAGAATATGCCAAAGGCGATATTAGGAAACTGCTTCGGNGCAAAAGTTATATGTACAGAGGTTATATATTAGGAAGTACAGTACCTCATAAACTGTAATTCATGCAATAACTTATTATAAGAAAAGTTCTTATTACAATGTAACGTTAGCTTTAGGATAAGAGACAAGGTTTGATCTCTGCACCTTTCTGTGGAGGACCCACCTGAAACAATCCAACCTATCGGTTTGGTCCTCCGCCTCCCTCCTCTAACCTAAGGTGAGATGCACCGCCACATGTGTTAAGAGCCGGGGCTAAAACGGAAGGTGAAGCGACATATCAACAGACCGACCCCACAAGATATGGTGCACACCCTATCCTCCACCAATCAAACTGAACTGACTCTGATCTCTTTTTCCAAGCCTATTTAGTTTAATCGATCGAATCATCTGTTAATTGTCTTCTTGCTTATTGTCCAGTGTCACATGCTGCATTTGTGTGTATATTATTGTCATTTGATGGTTATTTGTATTTATCTATTTATTGTAATATTAGATTTCAGTATTAGTTAAGACCGTAGTAGCTATTTGAGGTTACGTACAGATGGTTTCAGTGCAGTGTTACGTTTGATTGGGTTGTTCCGCTTAGACATCGCTCGGATATAATTCGTTTTTGTGACGACTTTGTTAAAAACAGTAAGGAAATTGTTGGATTTATCGAGGAAAATTTTCATACACTGGCACTGGACACTGGCAAATACAACGTGTTTAATTATTAAAATAAGTAAACGAGCAACGTCTCGTTGCATTGCGTGCAGCAATGGGCAGCAGACAAAAATACTAATATTACACACAATGTAATTGTGTACTCCAGGCTAGAAGTCGGTGTAATGCAATATTTGTACTTTTCCATGTTGACAAAACTCAATACAATAAAGTATAAAAAACTATTCACATTTTTTCTTCCTTATTTACTAGACATAAGGCGTTTTTTGAAACTTAGTGCTGTGGGATAGGTCGTGACTTGAGTTATAGGTAGTCCTTCACCTGGGACAAGTCTTCAAAAAATACCGGACCAGTTAAATTTGGGTAAGTGAGCATACAATTAATCTACCACATGTCTAGTGAAATTGAAAACTAACGTGCAGTTATACTAAGAAAACAGTCTACAAAGTCAGTTTGTGATCTTGCAATGCTTTAAATCAAATTCAGTATGTTTGTCTAAGCCAGTGGTTTTCAACTTCATTAAAACTAGCAAATACTACTGTTTTGTATATATGTATTTTATTTAGCTCATACATCCAAATGGATTATGTAGAAAAATATTGACGATTTCTTTTTTTAGTGAAATGTCACTCTTTCCGTACTTTTTTCTGCGAGTCTACGGATTTGCAAAAAAGCATAACGATTTTTGATCGACCAAAAAAAACATCTGTGGATTTTATTATCCTATATCAATCTATAGAATCAACACTGCAAAAAGATAGTCATTAAAGTTTGTAATAAAAAAAGCAAAGTGTATATACTATATAGTCTTACCTCTAAAATCAAGCAGAAAGATTATTGCCCCAAATCAACAAGACAAAAGTATTTGCGAGTTGGGTAAAATTAAAACAAGTAAAAGGTTTTTGCCTCAAGGCGAGTAACTTAGCGTATGCATTATGGCATTGTTTTTTAAACAATGATTATGGTTAAAATCCCAAAGAAAGGTCTCCATAAATAAGAAAGTTGGTCTTGCACATGTGCACATCATCTTTTTACAATTGCGGTATGTTTGCCTTTACTAGAAACATTGGTTAAAAATTTAAAAAAATAAAGTTGCACAATGCGTACATCTGATGTTTACAAAATGCGATGTTTGCCTTTACTAGAAACATCTTTATTCCAATTAAGATATAAATGTGTAAATAAGGAAATTAGCATTGCGCATGTGCACATCTGATTTTTACTATAGTATGCCTTATGTTTGACTTGACTAAAAGTGTTTGTGGTCAAAATTGCCACAAAGCCTAAATTAATAAATAAAAATGTTGATAATGCACATGCGCATATTAGATACTATAGCTATAAAGCTACCGAATTCATAAAGAACTAACTAAATAGTTGAAAACTGTAGAAGTAACTAGTTGCGGCCTTACAAAATGAGTTGAAAAATGGGCTAAAAAAACAAACATCAAGATCGGACTTTCAGCGACTCAATAATAAAGTACAATCAGACCTATCCATTCTATAATCGAAAATTAGAGAACATTACAATGTACATCTTGCAACTAAAATATGGCTACGACCATATAGTACTGTATAGTCAATGCTAAGTGTACCATGTTTGGAGGGAGTTGACCATGGCACTTGGCGTTATCACTTGTAGGTAACCTGTGTAAAATTAGATTAGTTATTGCGGTTTGTATACCTATAACATTTGAGAACTTTTGTTGACTGGGAACCATACTTTAATGCATTCAGAAATCGGAAGACAATTATAATGTTCAGTAGATATATAAATATAGATCGGGTCATTCACAAAAAGTAATGATCGCCTAATAGGTAAACCCTGCATCATAAGCAACTAACGCATGCCTATCACATCAGCTTTAATCGGTTTCTTCAAGGAGGAGGTACCATAATTGATTGGTTCACATTTTCAAGTTTCGCAATAGGTAGGTATATTACAATGTTGGTTGCGTATGCTGCAGAATTTACCTATTCAACGATCATTACTTTTGTCAATGACTACGGAGTACAGAATTCTAAATCCACCATATCTGAAATCTTTACCACCAAAAAGGCAAATGCACATATTTCCCAAAAAAATAGTAGTTTTTATATCAATTTAAAGATTAAGATTTTGAGTTTAAAGCAGTACGAACTTGTATTGATTACAGCCAATTTCTTTCAATGTTGTGTGCCAATAGAGATCGTTTTTGGGGGGGGGGGGGGGGGGGTTTAGCTCTGAAGTGCACCACAAAAACATTTTAAAGTATACTACTTTCTCGAAAATCAATTACCATACAGTTTTTTTTAAATTGCAGCTGATAATTAAAAGTAACAAAATATACAATCCACACGAGGTGCGTCGCCTATCATTGCATTTCAGCACTTTCATGCTACGACAAAAAATGATAAATTCATTGTAAAACACTTCAATTAAAACAGAATTTTTTAACAACCTAACATCAACCCCAATTAGAGAAACATGTTAATAATTTATTAATAGTGCAAGAAACTAAATACAGCACATACTTATAAATTTCCAACGGGCCATTATGATCTACAGGCCAGGTGGCAATCGCCACTCGCCCCCCCCCCGGGCCAGTGCGCCCCTGGTTATATACACTGCCTTTTTTGAGCCCCGAAAAAAAAATTGTCTCAGATCGACCCGGAAAAAAAATTTTCTTATAGAATGTGGCCTGTAGAATCCATAATTTCAAACAATTCCAAGATTGGGCTACTAGTTCAAAAGTTACAGCCCTTTGAATTTTTTTTCGAAATTGGTTTCTAGTCTATAACTTTTGATTGAGAAGTCTGATCGAAAAAGTACGAATTGTTTTGGTTTCTACGCACCAAAATTAATAAGAAAAAGTGTTTTCCCGAGAATTTTGGTGTAGTCGATTTTTGGTAAAAAAGGAAGGTTATACACTGCCTTTTTTTGAGCCCCGAAAAAAAAATTGTCTCAGATCGACCCGGAAAAAAAAATTTCTTATAGAATGTGGCCTGTAGAATCCATAATTTCAAACAGTTCCAAGATTGGGCTACTAGTTCAAAAGTTAAAAACGAAGGCTGCCTTTTTTTGAGCCCCGAAAAAAAAATTCTCAGATCAACTCGGAAAAAAAAATTTTCTTATAGAATGTAAAATTTTTTTCCGTCTGTATGCATGTGCGTACGTTGGCAATTTCCAAGGTAACGGCTCGACGATAGCCTAAAGAGCTGCAGTCTTCCTCCAAAATTCATAAAAATAAACTCCTTGATCGACAGGAAAATGAATATAAAAGATTATAACCTGAATGGGTGACAGAAAGCAAAGGCTTGCCTCTAAAATTAATAGAAAACGGACTTGCCGCTATTGATCTAAAAATGCATATTTCTGTAGCAAAACGTTACTTTAATTATATGAAGAGGGACAGTACACAAACTATACAAAAATACATCTAAAGGCTTTGCCTCTAAAAACATGATCAATAATACAAACTTAGCAAATAGAAGTAGGTATTTATTTCCATACTTTGTACACAGAAATTAAGATTATTTCCTTGCAGCTGCGGCTGCTTCATCTTCCTTTTGATAATTTTGAATAATTTCCTGTTTTTTAAGTGCAATCCTTTCTTCACGACGTTTCCTTGCTTCTTTAACCTTTAATCTTCGCGCTTCTGCTTGATCATGCAATGATTTGGTTCGTGCTTTTTCTGCTTTCTTTTTATGGATATATTCCATTAAAACCCTCTTGTTCTTAAATACATTACCCTTCGCCTTCATATACAAGGAATGATATAAATGTCGATCGATCTTTTTAGCTTCACGATATTTCTTCAAAAGACGTCTCAGAACACGCATTCTTTGTATCCACAATTCCTAAATGCACATATCAACATGATTTGCGATAACATAAATCTTGCAAATTACCTTTTGTGGCATGCGAGCATTTGCGGTACCCTTTCGTTTACCAAAACCACAATGCCTTCCTTTACGTCTTGCCTCAGTATTCTTACGGACACGTGCACGTGAGTGAACAGCGACCGGTTTTTTAATAATCAAACCATCTTTGATCAGTTTACGGATATTTTGACGAGAATTTGTATTGGCAATTTCGTTTATTTCATTTGGATCTAGCCATACCTTCTTCTCACCACATCGCATCACGGAAGCTGCAAGCCTCTTTTGCAACTTTAAGGAGCTAGAAATGAATTAGGTACACAGAATCTAGAGAGACTCCTTTAGATGTTGGCAAATACATATTTGCAACTATTTACGCAATATTATCTAAAATTATCAACATTCAAATTTACCTCATTTTTCACAATTAGACAGAATGTTTACTACGTTAAGCAATAAACAACGTATTAATTAGAAAACTCAGAAATTTTGAGCTGAGAATTGTAAAAAAACATCCGAAGATTAGCACACACAACAATATTCTTCTCCACTTGCTCACACTACACAGTCTTCACTATCAGTCTATCACTTGCAGATGTGTTCCACACTGACTCCCTGTACTGCGCAAACGCAAGCGCGCTAAAATTTGAATTTGTGTACAGCTGTCAAGTGTAAGGGGTAAATACATTGAACTATACTCTGTTACAGAGTATAGGTATAGTTCAATGGGTAAATAATATACACATAACCTGCGAACGTTATAATTGAAGATAATTTAGCTTACCTGCTTACCTAGTTATTATATGTTGTAGGCATACCAAAATGCCATGTTATCAAGATGAATTTTGTTGTTATCTACATTTGGAGTGCATGGTCATAGAATATGCCAGAGGCGATATTAGGAAACTGCTTGGGTAAGTACTGTAATAGTTAATTAGAAAGAGTTAATGACATTTACTTACAGCAATAACGTTACAGACCAACATTGACCTATGGTAAAGAGAGAGTCCGGTGCTGAACGAATCACAAAAAACCAGACTACAAGGATCATGACTGATAGCTAAAGTAGAGGTTTTCTTTCAAGTTGGCGCTATAATGTATTTAACTGGAATTCACAGTAGTGACCGAAGGCTTTAATTCGAGAAGAAGAACATATTCTTTCCGAAAATACAGCGAGATTTGGTTTGTAATATGGAAGTCAGCAGGAACTGGTGTTATAAACAAAACAAAGGTGGCACGTTAAAGCAAATTCAAATTTTAGCGCGCTTGCGTTTGCGCAGTACAGGGAGTCGGTGTGGAACACATCTGCAAGTTCAGTCTATCACATAGATAATTTTATCTATGGTCTATCACAACCTAAAATGGCTAAAATTTAAACGTGACTCCCTATCAAGGAGTCTGCGCGATTTTTTCGGCGCCAGTTTCAAAACAATTTTATCGCAGTTTAAATTATGGTTTACTATGGACCAAAATAGGTAACATCCCGAAAAACTATTAAGGTTAAAAAAACCATAAAACCACGCAAAATTCAACCGCTTGTCAAATGACATGATTTTTCATGGCTTTGCCGTTTCTTGAAGCAACCACAAAATTAGATTCACAGTAAGAATAAGCGAAAATTCTGGCACTCTTACTTACTCTATAAGACCTTGTTTTGACTCACAAAAGAATAGGCCTAAAGATTTTTGATGCGAAGACAATAAAAAACTAATAGTTAGCAAAATGCCATTGCTGTTGAGTTCATAGGGTCAATGATGCCCTTTTCCAAAATATGCCCAAGACATTGTTTAATATAATGCCCAAGGTTACGTTACAAACCAAACCTTTCTTAGGTAGGTATCGCTTTAGAAATTGTTATTAATAATAAAAATATTTATTGTGTTATTTATTTTAGTTTATTATAGAAATCTACAAAAAAATTCAATTATAAAGAGTAATTTTATTGTGTAAAATGATTATGATTCACCACGACGGCACAAAGTATATACAAAAAATACCCCAAAAAAAAGGTGAGTGCCAGTGATTACAAGAGTATTGCAAAAAAATGAGTCAGGGAGATTATTTAATTTTTCAAATCCATGTTTTTTTTGTGTATCAAAATCATCACTTCTATGGAGAGAAAACCCCCTGAAAAAGTACGTAGTTATACAAATGACAATATTATACATATATTGTTCATATTTGCATGCTGGGTCCAGTTTTTAGACAGCAAGCAGGGCCCAGTGGCACCCGAGGACGCAAACTTTCAGATGATTTAACAAATGCCATGGAAGAGACTTATGAGTACCTACATGGAATCTAATAGCAACTACCAGTTTCGTGTGCACGAATTAATTGATTGTGTATCAGGCAAATACACAGTAAGTGAAAGAAGTGTTAAGCGAAAAGTGCAAGAGAAATGTGGGGAGATTTTTAAAATTTCCCCTCTGCTCATTACGCCTGTAAGGGGGTAGGGCCCTTAAATTTTGGTAAGATTCAGCGGATCCTCATTTATAGTGCCAAGATAAAGTTATAAAGTATCATTGATGTACATATTTTGCTTCCAAAATATGCTATTGTTCCGGTCCTACACGTGGAAGCTGAACCTTTTGTACTTAATGTTCCTTAATTGTAACACAGTCAATATCTTGTTCGTATTCTCCTGCAAAGCATTCGTCATCTACCTATACTGTTTGAAAGGTTTCTTCCAAGTGCTGTGCAAACAATTCTGAATTTGAATCGCTTCTAATCCTCATTTCCGAGTGGAGGTAGGTACTTGTGCAGTTGATCTTTTTAATTCCTTTGTGCATTTACAAAGCGAACATTCAGTGTTTTTGAATCAATTCGAGCATGGTATTGCCATTTGTGCCGTCTGGAAAGCTATTCCAGGTTGCTGACATGTTTTTGACAAATAAATCCACCTCGCGCTGGATCCATTTTATTTTGCCCCGAAAAAAGCCAAAAAATTTTTTGATTCGTGGCCATAGACATCGAGGACTGAATCTACTGGCGCTCCCTAGCTATTGGTCTGTGCACGCACAGCGTGTGATAAGTTTGTGACTGACACACACACAAACAAACAAGAAAGTAACTATAAAAGTGACTAATTTTGAACATTGTAAATTAGACAACTGTATTCCAAACCAAATGGGAGGGAGTATATACAATTAAGGAAATAGCATACCACATGACAAGGCAGGACAATCATATAATTTGGTACGATTTCAAAATGGAAAATACCTTAGGATCCTGTACATTGTTGACATAATAAATTTTATTAATTTTAAAATGTTATCATAAATAGATATTTATTATTCTCAGAGTGTGTTGATGTTAACATTTATTTTCAATAAAATAACTCTTAAATTGATCTAGTTTTACTTTAGTTACAATTATCTTCATTTGTTGAAAGTCACTATTATGTTGATCTGCAGAAACATCCAAGACAACTGCATTCTTATACAGCCATCTGTAAACCGATACTGTTAGATAGTTTGCTACACCACAATTAGTAGACATGAAAAGGTAGCTGACAATATAGACGCAACCTAGGGCATGCACCATATTTCTGTATAGCACAACATGAGCGTATATATTGCCAGTCAAGATGCTGTCACCTTGTGTAAAACTTTTAAACAAGTTAAAAAATTATTATGCAAACATATATGACGAGAGCGTATTTTCCTCCTAATAATATTAATGCTAGGAGCAGGAAAAAATGCATGTAGGCACGAGATGCTTACTCCATTCTTTTTTCAAATTAGGCGCCTGCCTACCGTCGAAATGTATACAGTTTGTTGAAAAATAGTGGAGTGTATACAAATATAAACAAATTATGAAATGGGTATTACTTTTACTTTTATTCGAAGTGTCACATATGAAATATAATTTAAATGCTTTCATAAGGCTGGCATTGCGCATGCGCAAAGTAACAGCCTGAAACGGTTGCTAGTTTTATTTTTATTCCCATTCATTTAGATGCTTTCTTAAATAAGAAAGTTGACATTGAGCATGCGCAAAACAATATTTTGTAAACGTCGTTAATTTTACTGATATTCGTAGTGTGTACATATAAAGTTTCATTTAAATATCTCCATAAATAAAAAACTTAGCATTGCATACGCGTTAATCCAAATTTTTGACACTGCGCATTGGCAAAACCAACAAATATCGGTATGCACCGAATCCTTGGACCAAGACTTTTCAAATATCGCCCAAGTCATCTAGTAAGTAATTCCATATGGACAGATGATTAAAACCAGATAGGTTAGTTATTGGAATACCTAGATATCAGTGGATAACAAACGCAAATTATTACCTACCTCATTTCATCTCCTCCTGATGGTACTTTCATGACAACTATCTTTCGATCAGTGGCTTTCAGCACTGCATTTTCAATTTCTTGCTGAAGTACATCTAACCCTGAAACAACCACATTAAATTAAAATGAATGGTATTAGAAAGTGCTGATCGGAGCTCTACTACAAAGTACACTACAACTTTTTTTTCTGTTGTGAAGTTCAAATATCTACCTCAAGCCACGGAATGGGAATGGAATGAAAAAAACTGTTTTATGAGCGAGTGGAATTGAGGAGGTTATAGTAGTAGCAGTAGCAGTGTCAGCATCAAAATTACTTAGATGTAGAAGTGGTAGAAAGTATAGGATTAGATTAATATTAGTGGAAAGGAAGGAAAAATATAGTTTCCCAGGAAAAGGGGAATCTCAATTACCTAAATGCTTCGTTGCTGAAACCGGTATCATATTTCCCTTACAACTTGCTACCAAATCACATTTGTTACCCACTGTAATAATTTTATCCGAAGAGCTTTCAAAATTATTGTTCATCGCTAGGCTTTCTAAAGTTTTTAAAACATGGTTTTCTTGATGTTGCAAGTCAGGACTTGATAAATCAACGACATGTAATATTACATCCTAAAAGCCACACACGTTACAACATAAATTTGACTGTCACATACGAAATACCGCTATCATTGCGTCTTCCAATGTGACATTGAAACATTCTATTAGAGACGTTGGAATTTCAGCAATAAACCCCACTGTGTCGACGTACAAAACTTTCAATTTAGAAGGTAACTGTCCGGCGTGAAAGGTTACATCTAAGGTTGCGAATAATTGATTTTGTGGTTGCATTTTCTCTTCTCCTGTCAGTGCTTTAATTAAAGAAGTTTTCCCTGAATTAGTATAACCGATGACAGAGACAACAGGGAAATCCATTGTAGTTCGACGATTCCTCAAAAGTTGCCTTTGAGATTTTAGCTTTTTGATGGCAGACTTTATTTGTTTCTCTCTATCTTGTAACATAATTCTTCTGGTGTCATAATGTTCACCTGTCACAACACCCACGTTGTCATGACGAATTCTTGCCCGTAAATACGGGATTTCGGCTAAAGATACTTGTAATCTTGAATGGGTACTTATCGCGTGCATTCTTAGTATTTGCATAACAATATTGTATCGATCAAAAATTGTCACACCGAACTCATTTTCTAACTCTGTCAAATGGGAATTCCTCAATGTAGCAACATTTATAAATGCCGCAGTCACATTAGGGTTTCCTCTTATTTGTGACCTCAATTTTTCCAAAGTTCCTTTTCCGAAAAACATTTTTTTTTGAAAACTTGTAAGGGGTGCTATAGAGGTATCGATAACCTTCCACGAAGATAACGTACGTATTAATGCGACTGCCTCTTGAAGTTGATTTGAAGGTGTTGTATCTCTAATTTTATCTGGACCCCATTTTACATATGGATGAATTATAAAACAGTTATAGCTGGACTGTCCCAGGTATCGACTAGCAAGTGAATCATACTCTCTAGAAAGGTGCACATTTTGAATTGTTTCGATTATTATTTAAGTATACTCATTCTTATCTAAGAAATCGGTGACACTAGATTCACTGGAATCAGAATTTGAAACAAACCGAACATTGTTCAGTACACCTCGCAAATTAGGCGACACGAAAAATCTTCGCATAGCTAATTGTTGTAGTAGCACAACATGGGTTAAAAGTATGTTTACTTTTCAATTTTCAAAGTTTTGAGGTTATGTTCTGATTTAAAAAACAATCGTGTGAAGTTAACTTTAAATAAGCTCATGATGCACTTCTACAGGGTGTAGCATAAGTATATAAAAAAAAGGTTCGTTGTGGAGACTGAACTCTGAAAGCACTTCAATGCCGTGGGGCAGTCAGCGATAAAGAATGCTAACTGTAGAATAAGCAACGACCTGCTCGATATGTGATTTGAATCATAAAGTTAAGTGAATGCATCTTTAATCCGCTATTTCGACAACTTTCTCTGTCCGCCCATCGTATACTACATCTACATATTTCAAAGTATTTTCCTCGTTTATTTTTACGCTTTGGCACCAAGGTCGCGAAGTTCTAGTGTTTTAAAGTGTTATAGATCTTTTAAAAATGTTTAGAAATCATTAAGCTAAGCTAATTTAGAGTTTTTGTAAAACGTTTTACAGTTTTCGTTAGTACCATCATTGTATTTTTTGTTTATAAATACAATGGTAGCATGAATAATCTTTAAGGTTGTTCAAGAACCTTCAAGAGGTTTTAAGTGTAGGTAGCTAAGATTTAATACTTAAATGTGTTATTCCTCTGGGAATTTTTGAGATCATTACAAAGCTGTTATTAGAGTTGTTTAACTTAGGTTTTAAGAACCTTTGAGACGATTATTGGTCTTTAAGAATATTTAAAGTTTCATGAGGGACCATCTCCAAGAGTTTTTATTAATTTTTTTAAAATAAGTACTTTTTCAATATTTATATAGGTCGTCTATTCTTTCATTCTACGTAGTAGACTATGAAAAAAATATTAACAGAGGAGTATAATGTTCAAGAGAAATGCTGGGTACTATGTAATACCAGAACAGTTCGGAAAAAGCGAAGGCCATAATTTATTTATCTTTACAAAAAATCGTATATATGTAGAGCCAGATCTTAAAATCATGGAAAAAATACGCACAAGCGTCCCGTAGACTAGACTATTGCCGTTTGTTATTTCGGTTCGTATGGACAAGGACAACAAACCTATAGAAATAAAAAATTCGTAGCCATGTTCTTTAAGTAAATTAAATTTTCGCACGCAGGATGAGCACCAGAGAGAGCCGCAATAATTTGGAATGTGGATGTGCCTGTTTTGGAAATTATCCCGCACAATTAACAAGCACAAGTTATTGAATGAGAGAATACTCTAGAAAGGCGCTCTCAATTATTCCCTATTTTATACATTTATTGTTGCGCTGGGTGTATGTATTTGTTTCTATCCCGAAATAGATTTGACGCTAACTTCAGATGGAAATAAGAAATTAACCTCACTTTAGTTTTTCTCGTAAAATATTTGTTTATTTTGTATGGTAAACCCCTGTTGTATTAACGATGATCACGTTGTCGCAACGTTTGAAAAAGCAACAAGATCAAGGCGTATTAAATAATAGAATATCGGTTAGAGATCGACTATTAGCCCGGGAGTTACAAGAGCTAGCCCAAGTTCTTCCAACCAATTGTCTTGTTAATCATGACAACGTTAACGATTTAAGTTCCTTCATGTTAATTATTAAACCTACCGAAGGCTTTTGGCAAGGTGGTTCTTTTAAATTTGGGGTAAATGTTACAGAAGAGTATAATATGGTGGTAGGTATTTTTCAATCGTGCTACTTGGGCATTCTTGTTAATTCTTATCTTAGCCACCCATTGTAAAATGCCTTACGAGATTGTGGCATCCAAATATTAGTGAAGGTGGGGAAGTGTGCCTATCACTATTGCGACAGCACAGTGTCGATGGTCTCGGTTGGTCACCTACGAGAAGGCTCAACGATGTCCTCTGGGGATTACTAGCTTTATTTACTGTAAGTTATTTAGACTGACCTACATTTCTCATTATCACATTTGTAGGATTTACTTAATTTCGACGATCCACTTAATATAGAAGCAGCAGATATGTATAGAACAAGCAGAGAAGAATTCCAGAAAAAAGTTAACGAGTATGTCATTAAGTACGCAATTGATTAACTTTGGAAGACTATAGTTGGGTATTGTTTACGGAAAATTTTAAATTCTAAATATATTGTGATTTATATTGGCGAGATCATTAACCAAAATGTTTTAGATGATTCAATAATAACATTGTGCTGCTAGTGTAAAAGATCTCGGATTTATTTAATTTTATTCAAAGAAAATGTTATTGGGTATTTCTCGTTCTCTTTTTACATTTTAAGATTCAACTGTTTTTTTATACAATGTAACAACAGAACAAGGTACAAATTTCATTTTCCATAGCTTGTCATGCCAGTTGGTTTAGTGGAATATATTTTTGTAACAATTGTACAGTTTCGCATATTGTAGTGGTCCACTAGTACTTCCGTTTTTTTAAATGTTTATGTTGTGTGTGATTTTGAACTCATTCACCATATATTATTAGACTACATTTTTTTCCAATTTTGTCATACATATCCACTAGATGTAGAATTTATGGAACGTCGACTACTTCCAAACTAGCAAACACCATTTTTGTATACACATGATGCCTTGAGTTAATATATTTATTACTTTATTTGTGATCATTTTTGTTTTTGTTTTACTGCAATGGTGACCGTGAGTAGTTTCAATTTTCAGAGAGACAGGTGTGTTCACTTTATTAATCAAATCAAAACTCATTTCTTAATCATGTCACGTCGTCTTTCATCTAATCAGAGATGGGTTTCGATGAACTAATTAGTAAAAGAGCACGCCTAATGCATGTAAGGTGAAATCACCTATGCAAATTTTAAAGTTAAGTCTGTGTTATTATGGACATTGACATGGTGAAATTTATTATTCTTGTGGATTCCATCTTTAGCCTTATTGTACGTAATGGTTTTATAATTGTTTCACTTTCAATTGGGTACCTGTGTAAATAAAATTACATTCAAGATAAATCTAAAGGTGTATTTCACTATAGGTATGGAAATGCAAGGTTTTCCTGTGAATTCGCGTAGTCGACTCTTGACTACAGATTAATAATATACCCTAGGCGTCTGTCGCAAAGATTAGGTTTTCATTTTGTGGAGATAGGATAATGTCTCTTTGGAATTTGTAACGCAACTACTACTACAGCACTTTCAATTGGAAAAAAGTAGCCAAATAGAAATGTGGTAGGTAGGAAGCGTGCCTTGGTGGTTGGTAAAACCATTATGCATTTGGATGGTTTTACTCATATACGCGGTACTGGTCTGGCCACTGAGGGCCCAAAGATCGCTAGGGACTTGAAGTGTGTAATAGTGTATTTCTGAAGTATAAATTATAAAAATTTGTTTAAGTCCTTTAAGTAAGGGTTTACTTTCTACTTTTAATATTGATGAATTTTGAAAAAGATTTGTTTGTGAGTATACCTAGATGGTGCAAGTGCATTATAAGTTTTTGTTTTCTCTTCCCTTGTCGATTTTTACATAATATGCTCTTTCTACAAAGTAGAGTTTGTGTTAAACCATTAACCACGACTGATCACGGCCGAGACCCATAGACGCGCCAGACCAGTGAGAGTGAGGATAATAAATTGCAAATACAGTTCATTAGGATTAGGTATAAATACACTATAGGTAATCATTTGATGAGACTGTTATATAATATGGTAAGTATCATCTTTCTTTACATAAGTGTACGCCACTCGCACAATTAAGAGAATCCATGTTGACAGAATCCTGGCGAAAATTAGACCGGTCGGTTCCTCCATCCACCTCAAGAGACGTTGTAAAGGGCGGATGAATCATAGGGAGGTACTACCAATGACCTAAATGTGGGGCATAAGTATGTATGTACATGTACGTGTAAGTGTAGCTGTTATCTATCCCCAAAATATGATAGTATGGAGACCAACTAATCTAACGATATAAGACTGGTGGGTTTCAGAAGAATTGTGATAGCAGGGATGTGGTTTGAGAGGGGGAATCGGAGCGCTATAATCGACGTCACTCTCGGCAAGAAGAGAAAAGTGATGTTTTACAGTAGGAACTTTTTAATCAGTTTGCCATTTTTCAGAACATCTCCTCACATCTTGCTTCGGAGGCAGGGGCGGACTGGGTAACTGCGGGCCAGGTGGAATTGCGTAAGTTACGGGCCATTAAAGTATTAGTGTAGTAATCATGGTGGCGGGGTAGCTCTGAGGTGCACCACAAAAACATTTTAAAGTACTCCTTTCTCGAAAATAAATTACCATACAGTTTTTTTTAAATTGCAGCTGATAATTAAAAGTAACAAAATATACCTACAATCCACACGAGGTGCGTCGCCTATCATTCTACTTCAGCACTTTCATGCTACGACAAAAAATGATAAATTCATTGTAAAACACTTTAATTAAAACAGAATTTTTTGACAACCTAACATCAACCCCAATTCGAGAAACGTGTTAATAATTTATTAATAGTGCAAGAAACTAAATACAGCACATAAATTTCCAACGGGCCATTATGATCTACAGGCCATGTGGCAATCACCACCCGCCCCCCCGGGCCAGTGCGCCCCTGGTTATACACTGCCTTTTTTTGAGCCCCGAAAAAAACATTCTCAGATCGCCCCGGAAAAAAAATTTTCTTATAGAATGTGACCTGTAGAATCCATAATTTCAAACAGTTCCAAGATTGGACTACTAGTTCAAAAGTTACAGCCCTTTGAATTTTTTTTCGAAATTGGTTTCTAGTCTATAACTTTTGATTGAGAAGTCTGATCGAAAAAGTACGACTTGATTTGGATTCTACGCACCCAAATTAATAAGAAAAAGTGTTTTCCCGAGAAATTTTGGTGTAGTCGATTTTTGGTAAAAAAGGGTTATATACACTGCCTTTCTTTGAGCCCCGAAAAAAAAATTGTCTCAGATCGACCCGGAAAAAAGAATTTTCTTATAGAATGTGGCCTGGGGGTCGATTTTTGAAACCAGTCGCATCTATTCGTATACGCTTAGATGCGAAGACTTAAAAACGTATACGTTTTCCAAATGCAATTTTTGACTACTGTTCGTAACTGCCTGGAACCGAAACGTACAGTGCATATGACAACGTCGCCTTTATTGATTGATTAGAACTAAAACGGACTATTTGACGTTCATTGACGTTTGGGTTTGAGCTTAGGTGGTGAGGTGAAGATATTTCTCAGTCATTTCAAATTAAAGAATAATAATATTTTAGGCACTGATTAGCATGAATACTGAAAACACGATGGACACGCCAAAGCGAGGGTGCAATACCACGCAAAACCAAAAAGGGTGGCTAGTAGAGTTTGCTAAAAACCACCCCGATATAATAGCAGGGAAACAAACTACGATTTTGACGTGCAAGAAAATGCAAGACTCATGGAAAGAAGTAGCTGATACAATTTGATAAATTGTGCTTCATTTAAGACTTCTATGCGGTTGCAAGGATTACGGTTCCTATTCGGGAGATAATTGCGTTCGGAATTTTCTAAATTGTCTATTACAAACACATTCACAGCTTCATCCATTGTTGTTAGTAGATACCTTTCAAGTCTCAAGAGTCAAAACTTCAACACTAACCAATACATAATAGGGCCCCTTCACGTGCATTCCCGGAACGACGCTCCGTAAGTTTTGGAGTGATGTCAATCCAAAACTGTGCGTGTAGTTCATCCTCGCGCCATGAATGATACGCGCCTGGCGTGGAGCGATGGAATCAAACATGTTTGAATTCCTGGCGTGGCGCGAGGCCTCCGCGCGCCAAATGCGAGCGTGTAGTTTCGTTTCGCGCCTTCCCTTCGCGCCGTTAGAAGAGGATGCGCTGTTAAACATTGGAGAGGAAAAAGGATAGACTACATTAGCAAAAATCCTGTAGGTTTGTTTGTGTGTGCTGTGCGGTGTGACATTAATTGTGGTAATCATCTGGATTGGTATTATTAATTTCTTGTAATAAAATCAAATCGCCAAATTTCTGTCTCTTCAAATACCATGGCTTGGACCTGTTCCTCCTCTTCTTGGACTCTTCATTTACGTTATCCATCATATTTGTGAAGAATTACAGCTGCAATTTATCTTTTTTTTACCAAACTCATCTTGTTATCGACAGTACCACTCTGGAATGAATGAAATGGCGCGAACGTGTAGTTTATTCACTGCACAACGCGCCAGAAGTTGGCGCTCCACGCTTCGTTCCAAAACCGATGGCGCGTCGTTCCGGGAATGCACGTGAAGGGGCCCCATAACCCACAAAACGTCAGTTGCGAGCGTTTGCGAACGCCATTTACCCGCTCGCAGAAAAACGAACACAATTGAACGTATACGCAATATAAACGTATGGTCAAAAATTGCAAATATACGTTTCTTTACAAATACGTATACGTTTTAAGGAAACGTACGGGCAAAAATCGACCCCCTGTAGAATCCATAATTCCAAACAGTTCCAAGATTGGGCTACTAGTTCAAAAGTTACAGCCCTTTGAATTTTTTTTCGAAATTGGTTTCTAATCTATAACTTTTGATTGAGAAGTCTGATCGAAAAAGTACGAATTGATTTGGATTCTACGCACCCAAATTAATAAGAAAAAGTGTTTTCCCGAGAAATTTTGGTGTAGTCGAATTTTGGTAAAAAAGGAAGGTTATACACTGCCTGCCTGCACCACAAAAACATTTTAAAGTACTCCTTTCTCGAAAATCAATTACCATACAGTTTTTTTTTTAAATTGCAGCTGATAATTAAAAGTAACAAAATATACAATCCACACTAGGTGCGTCGCCTATCATTGTATTTCAGCACTTTCATGCTACGACAAAAAATGATAAATTCATTGTAAAACACTTCAATTAAAACAGAAGTTTTTAACAACCTAACATCAACCACAATTAGAGAAACGTGTTAATAATTTATTAATAGTGCAAGAAACTAAATACAGCACATACTTATTAATTTCCAACGGGCCATTATGATCTACAGGCCAGGTGGCAATCGCCACCCGCCCCCCCCCCCCGTGCCAGTCCGCCCCTGTTCGGAGGGCATGTAAAGCTGGCGGTCCCGACAGTCGTTAAGTCACTCTTCATGTTAAGAATGCAGTTGATACTATGCCAAGCAGCACCATAGTACAACAACTAGATCGCACCAACAACAAAATATCTCGGGGAAATTAATGGGTAGACCTTACGGGTATAACTACCGAAGTGCGCGTTCCATCTAAATGAGGTGGTAGCGAAAGTGAGGCAAACAGCAACCAATATACAAACTTGGTTGGAGGGAAGGGGATTAAAGTTGGCGAGACACAAATCCAATGCCGCATTGATAGCTGGAGGTAGAAGGCTTACATTTGTCAATCTAGAAGTGGGGGAGCTCGCGTTCCATAATCCATTGGAAACAACCAATGAAATAATAGGAAGGTTCATAGAACACGTAGATAAAGTCTGTGAGAAGGCAACGAAAACAGCCAACTCTCTGCAAAGGCTACTAAGGAATATGGCGATCCCAAGGAGAAGTGGAGAGTTCTTGTCGTCAACGACATAATACTATATAGATGCGAAGTATATGGAGGGTGGCGGCAGGCATCCGGAGGTTCAGACAGTAATTGGATAGGGCACAGCGAAAGATGGCGCTGCGGGTAGCTTCTGCCTATCGAACAGTGACCACCAAAGTCCTTTCCTTGCTGGCGAGGACAATAAATAAGCGGTGGGATTGGGAACAGAAACAGTCTTGGACTCCGAACACTGGTGACGAACATACAACATGGAAATTACAAAGGACAATACAATTAACCTTATGCTAAAGGAAAAGCAAAGGTACGAACGACATCGCTGGCACGTAAGTGTCTCACAACTTCCTCCTAATGCATTATGCGGGTCACTTTGTAAGGGGACAAAAGCCTGATGAGAGCCCAGCACAAGAGGGACAATAAATAATTAAATAAGACGCTCTCAAGTTCACATTTTTCTTCAGTTTCCCCCAAAGATCCTGTTAAATCTCCACGTTTCATAATCACGTATACTTTACTTTTGTCCATTGAAGACAATTGCTTTTTGTAATAAGCTTATTTCTAATATAGGATTGGAAAAATAAGTTTTTAAGTGACTCACAGGCGAGTTTTGGGTTCAGGTTTTCGGGCCCACATTGGGACGTAAAAATAATAAACAGAAAAATATTTTTCTTGTACGTTGCATATCTTGTTGTACGTTTAAATACTACAAATAAATTTGATAAACGATTCCGCAGTCATATTTTCTGACTCTATCAGTATTTTCCGGTCACAAAGTAGTTGAAGCTACTACAGTGGCGGGCAATTGACCAGTGAGATTTGGTCAAGATGAGAAATTCACTGCACCTAATTTTTATCAGGCGAGCAAATGACAGGACACCTTGTTTGACGTAGTATTCAAACACGAAACGAATGAAATTGTAATTTCTTTATTTCGAGATCAGTTATAAGTTGTAGCAATAATTTACAATCGTATAAAACATTATAAATATAAATTCACCAACAATTCTTCACTAGAATATTAGCTTTGTTCTGTTCATCTTCTCCAATATGTTAAAATCTGTTAGTGAGTCGTGAGAAAGAACTTATGTTACTCATTTTTCACAAAGATCCTTATTAATACTGATCACATCTCGATAGTGTAATGAATCACATTGCTACTAAAAGTAGTGTCATATAGAAAACACGTAAATAAAAAATAGTTTTTACTTAAAACTACTACAAAAATACTTATTGCAAGAACTTTATTACACTGTACACAGAAATATTATGTAAAATTGTATTCCACCTTCCGAATCATGTTATTACTGTACCCTTGGAATATTAACAAACAAAATAACAAATATTGTTTGATCTCACTATAAAATATTAAATTGATTTGGTAATCATCACATTCATAAAACTGCAAAACTTGAAAATTGTGTATTAATTAAAGAACTTTGTAGAATATGTAAGGTACTCTTCCCATATCGTTTTTTTGTATGTTTGATATGTAATTTAAAAGCAAATATTTGTTTAATTCTATGCGAAAATTTATTTTGGTTAAATAGTAACAGGAAAGCAGACATACAAAATTAATTTGTTTTAAAAGTTTTACATTTTTACAGTTTTGAAAACTTAAAAGATCGTGTTTTCTAAATGTAAAATTGTAATTCAAGTTACTGCTATATACACGGTGCTCATAAAAAAATCGTATTTTTCAAAGTGCTTTTACAACTGAATTTTTTGGGTCATCAGTTGTACTTTAAAAACAGGCAAAAATATTAACCTTGTGCTGGTCATAGACCTAGCCAGTTCATCATTACATACAGACCGTCCGAACAATTTTAAATCTGGCACATATTTTTACTACTGTAATTTCCAAAGCATTGAAATACCTTAAAACGACCTAATACTATTATGACAGAACACATCATTAATACCTATATTAAAAATTGATTGCAAGGTTTTTAATATACTAAAAAAATGTACCAGATTTCAAATTGCTGTCATTCAAATAAAAATACCACATAATAAACAATGTAAAACCAAATAAAACCTAAATTTCGAACAAAAACATAAAACAGATCATCTGTATAACAAATAAAAAAAGCGAAAGGATTAAAATAAATTAACCGTTGAATGGGAAAACTTGCGTAATTTCGCCTATGCCTTTTGAACTGCCATCTCTAAAGAGAATGCGTTGGCCTTTGCATACAAACTCGGGATGGCATTGGAACTTAAACATGACTGAATCGATGTCATCCGTGTGTAAGCACTTTGATGCAAAGATTCCAGTAATAATAGCTGTTTGTCTAATGTGTCCTATGTGAACGGTAACCTGAAACCCTTCAGAAATACCCGTAGCGTGAAATAAAACAGTCACTTTTGCTTGGAAGTAGAGTGACCCTCGTGCTTTTTCTACAGGACTCAATAAAAACATCCCAGCACGCAAATTATCTACCGGAATATCTAAACAGATTGATGCACTTTGACCAGCACGAACCATACGGCATGGTACACGATTGCGATGAATTGATTTCACTTTGGCCTTTGTGAAGGAACCATCGGCATGTGGACCTATTTGAACCGGAGAACCTTCCACGAGAACCCCTGCCGACAATAATCCGCACAGAACCTGGTCCAAATCGCCGGCCCGAAAAATTTCATCAATTTGAAACTCTGGTAATTTCTGAAAAAGAGAGCGCTCTAATTGTGAAATTATGACATTATGACTTTCTAATTACTTGCTGTAGTCGTTCCAATTCCTTCGAATTAATACCCGGTGGCAATACGTACAGAAACTTAACTAATAGATCAAGACCTTGCCCGGTAACAGTAGAAACACAAAATATCGGTACCGTATTTTCTTTCAGCTGGTTTGTTCCTGCCGTGATGACGTCATCATAATCGTTAACAATTATTGGAATCCGTCTGCATCCAGCTTGCTTAAGAATAGTTTCCAAATTCGTTAACGCTTGACTAGGGTGAAGGATATCGATTTTAGTTATAACTATGAAAAAGGGCACTTTTAGCGCAATGGCAATAGTAAGATGCTCCAATGTCATTTCCACTGCCCCTGATGTGCTGGATATCTGAAAAAATTCCTATGCAATCCAAAATATCTAAGTTACATTTTCAATCAAATGTCATTGCGATTTTCTGTCAAGGTAAAGGCTCCAGTTATTGACAGTATAAGAACACCCTAAAATATTTTCTCTTCCAAATATGACATTATGAACTTGTTTGCAATGAACTCCGATTTTGGTTGCATTTTGACTGAACGACGCAACTTTTTAGCACGCACACGCAGGCGCCACTCCTAGATTGTTACTTGCCCAATTACCTCCACAAGCTTAAATCGACTCATATATCGCTGGAAACAAGGCCATACAGTGCGAGATCAAGTTTGCAACTATGCTAACCTAACCTATCGACTTCCCTAAAATTCATATATATTGCGGTAATAATAAAGAACACTATGACTAGAGGCATGCTAACATGCCGGCAACTGGATATGTTAGAGGCACGTCAACGAAAGCGGAATGAGAACTTGATTCAAGCACAACACATATAGTGACATAGTGGTTAGGATACCTGCCTTGTACGCAAGCGGGTCTGGTTCGATTCTTTGCGTATAAAAACTTTTTTTAATTTTTTTAACAAAAAATGTGTATCCCAATTCAGTGGAGTTGGACACCAGGTTATAAGTAGGTTCAAGGTTTTCTTCTTAAATTTTTTTAGAATGCGAACTCATACAAAAACATAGTTCACGGATTTACATGCCCGTTACCTAGCCAGTTGCTGGCCTCCAGTCGCGGCCAATAAAGACTATGTACCTAGCCTCACTTACAACTCCAACAAGAAAAATTGATTACTAAACACTAATACAATGCAATAACAAAATGGTTGTTCACCATTACCCTAACCAGATATAACTTATAATGTGGAAGCAATACATAGATGTCACATACTAGGAATGTAATAAATGTTGCCAAGTCTTCCAAATCTTAAACAAGTTTTCATTACTGGATCACTGTTCAATGCTGGAGATTTTACCTTATAAATGTCTGATTAATTTTATCAAAATGTATTAAGTAGAAAAATCCGCTGAACATTGTTACGTTAGTATATACGATAAAAGACACTTACCACAAGCATTACATGATGAGGAGAGTAACCTAACAAGCCTTTAATTGTGGTGTGAATGTATTTTCGATGGCCAGCCAAATCCAGAAAACAAACCAACTTAGTAGATAACTCGCAAATTTCTTCAGCGGTCAATCGGTTATAATCATTAAGGACTGGGCATCCCTAAATGATACCAATTAATGAAGTCAAAATAGAAACTTGTAAATATTAAATAAAATTTTTCTTTCAAGCTTTCAGTAAAAATGTCTTCGATCCTGATTGGGAGGCATACTCACTTGGTTATTATAACCTAGAATCTCGTGAGATATTGATGAGGTACGTCCAGTCAATATTTCATGCAAATGACGAAATACATGTAGTCTTGCCCGCCCACGTCCATTATCCATGATCCCGTGTGTCAACACCGCTATTAAAGTCGATTTCCCTACATCAATATTACCTAGAACTGCCACACAAATTTCGATAGCGTCTTGATGTTCCGGAACCTGATACATTCACAATGAGAAAAAGCAAAAAAGCTTTTAAAATACTACCTTTCTAATTAACACTTCAGTAACGAATCGTCCATTTTCCAAACGCCTTTCTCGCAAGATTTGTGTTGAAGCACCCAATCTATCGGCCATCTGCCTTAACGTTTGAATGCTAAGCTCTAACTCGTACAGGTCTAAACCTGCAAGAACGCCATTGTCCTCAACACCAATCTCGTAAAACGCCTCTCCTTGGCCTTCTCGAAGTCGCCATTTCATCTGAAATTATAAAACGATAGTGATATTGAATGCTGTAATTGTAATTGTGTAATTGCTTCTTGTAACCCGTTAACACTTCTTAATTCAAAAATGTAAAATGAGTATAATTAAAATCTTACTACTTACTACTACGGGGAATAGCATACCATCACGTTGTCTAAATTATTTACCTAAACGTATTTACCTGAATGGGACATTGTTGATATCTTTCCGAGGGTATGCCAAAGGCTAAGAATTTTTCATCTCACAGAGATGGGAATTTCCGAACACGCTGCCGGCTACTCCGAATTAGGTTTTCTTGCAGTTTTCCTAATTCGTAAGGTAAATACAGGAGTAGTATAGAACAAATTAACACCTTGGGCAGGGGTATCTCTAAAAAGCATTATGCAGGTCACTCTGTAATTGGGCGCAAGCCTATTGCGGGCCCAGAACAAGAGAAGGATAATAAATAAATAAATAAACAAAACAGTCTTAAAGAGGAACAGATTTATAACAACCAAAATATTATTTATCACTCACACAGTCACAATTTACAACAGCGCGAAATATTTATTACTTCGGCGTTGAAGTTGGAACTGACTCGAAACGCAATTCATTTTGCTTATATAGTGAACAACGTTTTTTTGAGTGCTCAAGGACGGTTCGGACTGTTCTAGAACAAACACGTCATATTTCCCGGAAAGATTGAGTCATATCCGCTTTAGCTCTTTGTCGCCAATGACTAACCTTTCATGGCGCCTCGATGTCTATCGGGATTTCTGGAATATTCGCTACAAGGTATTATTATGAAAAGAAGGATTCACTCTGAATTATAAAAATTTAGGAACATGACATGGTAAAAGTATGATGAAATTGGTTGAACACGCCATTTTCGAGATAGTTCACACTTGAAATATTGACCTCATCGACGGATGCGCCTCGCTGATCTCTATCATTTTCCCATTGCAAGTGCCCTCTTCTGACATTTTGTTTTAGATATGATCACAATTGAAGTTTTCGCTGTGTAATTACCTTTTTTCGACACTCTGTTTTCAAGATATTCAAGATATTAGCCTCACCGAGGACCCTCTACAGTCTACATCTATCATTTTCCCTTTGTAGGTACCTCTACCAACACTCCCTTTTTGAGTTATTCGCATTTGAAGTTTTAACCCCACCAATGGATGCGTTTCATCGCCGTGTATCATTTTCGCTTTGTAAGCACACTCTTCGGACACTCCATTTATAGATATTCACACTTTTTGGAGTTTTCCCAACAAGTGGGTGTTTTTCATAGAGGAACGATCTTAAAATCAAGAGGGTTCATCTACGATACACCGTAAATAATATTTAGTAATAAAACGTATAAGTCTTTGTATACCAGAGGATAGTGTTTTAAAGAGTCTGTAACAAACCAGGGGATGGGGTAGAATCAAGGGAAGAATCCAATAACATAACTGTATCTACTCATCTTAGATACTTACAGGCCGGGTTCGGACATGGATATTTGTAAATGTATAGTGGGTTGCGTTAGTAGAACAGCATTGGCTGAAACCCCGCCCACTTAAAAATAAAAAAAAGCCCAAATAAATATTCGGTCTGCGCCGTTATTCACCAATTACCAAGCTATAGTGCAGGTCCTGTACCTCACACTGCTTTTGAACCCAAAATTAAGAATTATGGACTTAAAAACTATGTCACCAACAAATTACAATAATAACAAACAATCACACTCACAAAGACAAATTACAGGGTGGTTCAAATTCGTGACTCCCCAATGGTGAGAGATACAGTGTAGGTTAATTGAGGGCCCTTTTTGTGACTAAAAAAAAAACGCATATGAAATTTTTGAAAAATTCTTTAAAAACAAGAGATATCACCGAAAAACTGAAAATGTCACATTTCGTTTTCATTTTCCCTAGCTTAAAAGGTCAGAAATAGAATTTTGACAATTTTTTCGGAGAACCTGAATCTATTATCAGAATTTCCTTAACCTTACAGTGGTCGCTTGCGGACTCTCGCTCCGCACCATTAATTTTTTTGTAATTACGCGACTATTTAGACCCCCACCGCTCTCATGCTCTTGTTACCTTCTGACAATACCCTTATGAAGAATCAGTGCTAACTGTCCGCTTCGTAAGTGTTGAATGTATCCAAAGGGCCCTTTGGTAAATGAAAAAACTTACTTTTTATGTTATTTTCAACTGTTAGAGTTAATTTATTTATTTTTTGTATGTACATTATTATACTTTCAAAAATGTAAAAAGCATTTTCTTACTAAGTATATTTTTTTAAAGTTTTTTTTATAGTAATAATAATTTTTTTTTTAATAATTATTATTATTTATATATATATATATATATATATATATATAGATTTAAAAAGCGCTAAGGTGAGATCATTTTTACATATATTGCAGATAAGGTGAGATCCATTTGGTAAACCCGAGATCCGTTTTCGGATCTCGCCTTTTTTACTGTGTATATCGAGTCTATTAGCTCGGTCGATCATACAGGAAGCTAAATTTCAATTTTCGCCCGGATCTCAACTTTTAGGTTTTTGTCAAAATTTATACACGCGAAGTTCTTGAGTGACCATCTTAGGGGGCGCTGCTTACGTTATATACAATACGTTATACTTTAAATAATGTGAGATCCAAATAAACGGCAACATTGTAAAGCGGTACTCTCGCTTTAAAGTGCGATAGCAAATAATGAAAGAGGTAGCTGTACTATGTGCGCTTTAACGTAAATAATTTGTTATCTGCCACCTCGTATGTATTATTCCTAATCCACGTTACGTTATAAGGGCGGATTTGTATTAAAGAGATTAAACTGGTGGATTGAGGAGAAATGTAAAATAACGTTTAGTATATTTTAGTAAGCACATTAAATTAATAATTAAAATAAGGGGGTCATAATGGATTCTAAGGGTATCGTAACTATAAGCTAGGAACACACCTACCACGCTGCCCAATAAGGGAATTTGATACACTTTCGATGACCACTTGTATTTTGATCAGAAGATGTCAAAAACGTTATTTCTATACCAAGCTCATCGGGAAAAGAACCAAAGATATTACAGCGTTGTCTAAAAAGGGAATTTTGTAAATTGTTTATGATTGATTTTACCAATTAGGTAGGTATCGTACGCGTAGTGGAAGAGAGGTACGAAGCATTTTTATTCTGATTTCCTTGGGTTTGGTGTTTACACATGATTGCAGGATAAGTTCGATGTTTTTGAACCGAAATTGTCACCTCCATGATTTGAACCAATTTGACTAACCAAAGCATCTTTCTTAAAAAATGATCTTTTTACAGATTTCGTTACGAAATACTGAACAACCCAATGGTTTATATGTAATCATAAGCAAATAACTTTAGAATTCTTGTGATTACTTTTTACAAACCAGGCGCCATACGATACTGGAAGAGAGATAAAAAAGCAATTTGATAATGATTTCTTTGGGTTTGGTGTTTATACATGATTGGAGGATGAATTAGATGTTTTTGAACCAAAATGGCCACCTCCATGGTTTGAACCAATTTGACTAACCAAGGCATCTTTCTTAAAAAATGAACTTTTTGCAGATTTCGTTACGAAATACTGAACAACCTAATGGTTTATATGTAATCATAAGCAAATAACTTTAGAATTCTTGTGATTACTTTTTACCAACCAGGCACCATACGATACTGGAAGAGAGATAAAAAAGCAATTTGATAATGATTTCTTTGGGTTTGGTGTTTATACATGATTGGAGGATGAATTAGATGTTTTTGAACCAAAATGGCCACCTCCATGGTTTGAACCAATTTGACTAACCAAGGCATCTTTCTTAAAAAATGAACTTTTTGCAAATTTCGTTACGAAATACTGAACAACCTAATGGTTTATATGTAATCATAAGCAAATAACTTTAGAATTCTTGTGATTACTTTTTACCAACCAGGCACCATACGATACTGGAAGAGAGATAAAAAAGCAATTTGATAATGATTTCTTTGGGTTTGGTGTTTATACATGATTGGAGGATGAATTAGATGTTTTTGAACCAAAATGGACACCTCCATGGTTTGAACCAATTTGACTAACCAAGGCATCTTTCTTAAAAAATGAACTTTTTGCAAATTTCGTTACGAAATACTGAACAACCTAATGGTTTATATGTAATCATAAGCAAATAACTTTAGAGTTCTTGTGATTGCTTTTTACCAACCAGGCAACACACGATACTGGAAGAGAGATAAGGAAGCAATTTGATTAATGATTTCTTTGGGTTTGGTGTTAATACATGATTGGAGGATGAATTAGATGTTTTTGAACCAAAATGGCCACCTCCATGGTTTGAACCAATTTGACTAACCAAGGCATCTTTTTCAAAAATGAAATTTTTGCAGATTTCGTTACGAAATACTGAACAACCTAATGGTTTATAGGTATGTAATCATAAGCAAATAACTTTAGAATTCTTGTGATTACTTTTTACCAACCAGGCACCTTACGATACTGGAAGAGAGATAAGAAAGCATTTTGATAAAGAGTTCTTTGGATTTGGTGTTTATACATGATTGGAGGATGAATTAGATGTTTTTGAACCAAAATGGACACCTCCATAGTTTGAACCAATTTGACTAACCAAGGCATCTTTCTTAAAAAATGAACTTTTTGCAAATTTCGTTACGAAATACTGAACAACCTAATGGTTTATATGTAATCATAAGCAAATAACTTTAGAGTTCTTGTGATTGCTTTTTACCAACCAGGCAACATACGATACTGGAAGAGAGATAAGGAAGCAATTTGATTAATGATTTCTTTGGGTTTGGTGTTTATACATGATTGGAGGATGAATTAGATGTTTTTGAACCAAAATGGCCACCTCCATGGCTTGAACCAATTTGACTAACCAAGGCATCTTTCTTAAAAAATGAACTTTTTGCAAATTTCGTTACGAAATACTGAACAACCTAATGGTTTATATGTAATCAATTAATCATAAGCAAATAACTTTAGAGTTC